GCGGTACCTCCTTTCCGCCCAGCCTGGCGGGAACTACCTCCAGACATGCGTGCGGCGCGGCCAGTGCCTTGCGAGACGACGAGGCACTAACAACGAAGGACATCCTTTTTTCACCAAAACGAGTTCGTTGCGGGGTCCCTCATCGCATAGCAAGTCAATGCTTACCGAGCCCCCCTAGTCATGCCCTTGGGTGCGCTCTGGCCAAAATCCCGCCTGCCCTGTAAGCGCAGGCATTTTAGGAGGGCATCCTTGGCAACCACCCTTCGTTCGGCGGTGGACAAACCTCCCTTTAGTAGACCTCCCCTTAATGACAACGGCCTGGGACCGAAACCGACGGACCTGGACCCGCAAAAATGACGGCCGCGACGCCCTCTCGCGAGCCGAAAACGGCCAATTCACTAATCGACGTGTCAGGGTAGGAGGTCTGTCCACCCCCGATTCGTCACCTTTGGGGAAGGACACGCCCCTCCCCATAGCGTCTCCCCCGTGGGCCTGGAAAGGGGGTGGCGGGAGCGGTCGGGACGTCCAGTCTTGCCTTAAGCATAGAACCGCGATGGCCCCGAATGGCCCAAGGTGGCTTCCGTTACAGTCGGGGCCTTGACCTAAGGAATCCAAAGTAAGGAACGAGGCCCCTTTCTTCCATGAGTTAAACTTCGATTCCCCATCGAAAACCTGGGGAAAACCTGAGGCAAGCTGTGAAACAATCAAGGAACACGGAGCCCCTCCCCAATGAAAAGGGTTCCTTCTTCAAGACCCCTACTGTATGGCACCACAGAGCCCAAGATGGCTCAAGATGGCCTCCGGCATGCCTCCACATATGCCTCCGAGAGGCCCCACGTGACGAACGAACAACACACACCCATACCCATAGGGGGGTCGTTGGGAGGAGGACTGGCTATGGGTATGGGTGCGGGTTGTCGGACCCTGAGGAACGCTCCTGGTCGAGAGGGGACCTCCATCCGACAACACGCACCCATAGCCTTCTCCGGCACCCCTATGGGTATGGGTGCGTGTTGTTGGTTCGTCACGATAGCTCCGAGGTGGCTCCGAGTGGCCACACGTTCTCACATTGATATAGGCCGATATCCTTCCACAGCCTTGGGGTCTTGATTGGCTGCCGGCGAGAGGAAATGCTCGTCGCCAGGGCACGGGGGGCTCGGCGTCTGCAGGGGCTCCGGGAGCGGGGATGGCGGGCGCGGTGTGCAGGACCGAGGGAAACAAGTGGGCAGCGGCGGCCGCCAGAGGAGGAGGAGGAGGAGGAGGAGGAGGAGGAGGAGGAGGAGGAGGAAGAGGAAGAGGAGCAGGAGGGAGAGGGGGAGGGAGAGGGGGAAGAGTAGGAGGAGGAGGAGGAGGAGGAGGAGGAGGAGGAGGAGGAGGAGGAGGAGGAGGAGGCGGAGGAGTGGTGAGGAGCAGACCATGACTACCCACCAGGCCGCCCCAATCCAACCCGAAGACCCAGATTTCCCGTTTGGGGGGGGGGGGCACGAATTCCACAGGTGTGTTTTCAATGCTCCCCGACGCCCACCTCGCTTGGACTTGAGGGCAACTTGGGGCCTTCGGGTTGGGTTTGGTGTGGTTTGGTGGGTGGTGAGACTGGAGTGGAATCGAGTGGAAAGAGGGGCAATCAAGAGCACGTGCAAGAGAGAGGGAAGCCCGCGCAGATCTGGGGGCCAGTCTATCCACACATCCTGGCCCCCCCTTCCTCCGCCTGCTCGCCCTTCTCCTTCTGAACCTCATGAGGTTTCGTATCTCCCTCCTCCTCCTCCTCCTCCTCGGGCAGTGGGCGGGAAAGGTTGGGTGGGCGGGACATTGAAGGAGGAGGAGGAGAAGGAGGAGGAGGAGGAGGAGGAGGAGGAGGAGGAGGAGGAGGGGGGGGAGGAGGGGGAGGAGGAGAGGGGGAGGAGGAGGAGGGAGGAGGAGGAGGAGGAGGAGGAGGGAGGAGAGGAGGAGGAGGAGGAGGAGGAGGAGGAGGAGGAGGAGGAGGAGGAGGAGGAGGAGGGGAGGAGGAGGAGGCAGCGAGCGGGCAGACCCTCAGAAGCAGGACGGGCGCTCCACCCCAACGGGCGGGTGGGGCGATCGGGCCTTCCGGGGCGGGTCGGGCGGGCCTCGCGAGCGGGACACGAACGCGTGCGGGTGGGCACTCAGACAAGATCACGGGCGCCCCCCAAACTGCGGGTCGGGCGAGCGGACCGGCGAGTCGGTCGGGCTGCGCAGAGGAACCCTGGTGGGCGGGTCGGGCGAGCGGACGCTGACGGGCGGACAGGCCAGCGGGGACATCGAAGCTTGCGGGCGGGCTTTCAGGCAAGGTGGCTGGCGGACCCTGACGGGTGGGTTCGGGCCCTTAGCGGGCGGGACAGGTGGGCGGGCAGGTTTCCAAGCGAGCGAGCGGGCGGACCCTGATGGGCGTGTCGGGCGGGCGGGTGGGGGCGACGACCACGAGCAACGACGGCGGCGACCGACGACGACGACGACGATCACGACGATGACGAGCAACGACGACGACCGAGACAACGGTGACGAGGACGACGACGGCGACAACGAGTCACGACGATGACGAGCGACGACGACGATGACTGACGACGACGCCGACGATAGATTACAACGACGGCACCGACGATGACGATGACGACGACGAATACGAACGACCACGACCCTAGGGGTTATGACGACGAAGGACGACGCCGAGCGTCGAGCAACAACTACGGGGAATGACGGGGAAGGAGAGCAATTACGGCGTTGGCGACGGCGACAACAGGTAATAGTGACGACACGAATTACGTAAAGACGACGTGCGACGACGACCAGGCACTGCAACAACGAGCGACGACGACGATGACCACCAACCGTGCAAAGCGGAGAATGAAGAAAACGGTGACGACGACGAACGTCGAGCTGCGACGACGACGATGACGACTGACGGGCAGAGACGAGTGGCGTCTGCGGCGATGACGCAACTGGCGCGACGACGACGAGGAACGACGACGACGACAACGAGCAAGATCGACGAAGACGAATGAAGAGACGACGACAAGTGACGGCGTCGACGGGTGACCAGGACGACGAGTGACGGCGACGACTAGCGGCGACCACGAGAAACAACCACGTCGGCAACACGCGACAAACACAACGATGACGACGACGACTCATGACGATTACGAAGAAGTCAACTGGCGGAATCTAGAAACCCTGGAACCAAAAATGTTGTCATCTCTTGAGCACGCAATTTTTACGTCCCTCGCCTTCCGCCGCCCTTCCGACGGCTTCCGCCTGGAGATGCGGCCTCGTTTGGTTCCGCCGACTTTCCACCGCGCATCCGCTTGGGGGAACATGTTAACGTTTTTTCGAACGTGGCTGGCCAGCGAACGTCGCTAAGGATGGGCCGAGGGGACAGGGATGCAAGGGTAGTCTTGGAAAGTTGCTTACCCTTACTATGCGGTGTGACTGTAGTGCTCCGATGGCATTGTGAAGCGTCAGGGTGGTCGCCCCGCGATCGCCCAAGAGAGCCCCCAGACGGTACCAGTGAGGCTTCACTTCAGCCCCGAAGCTCCGAGAACGTCGCCAGGGGGCCCCGAGAGACAATGTTTCGCACCCCTCAGACACTTTCCGTGCTCAGCTAATGACTTCCGTGGTGGCCGAGCGAAGGCGCCACGGACCCTCAGGAGGGTAGCGTTTGAACCCCGACGGCTCCCCCAATGGCCCCAAGACAAGGCCCAAGATTGCTCGAAGAGGCCTCCAGGAGGCTCCCAGGGATCTTTAAGTTGACCAATGCTGGCTCACTCGTTCAGTGCATGTTTTTGTCCCTTCTACCCCCGACAGTTCGCATGCGCGTTGTTTTTGGACGGGTTTGCGGGCGCAAGTGAAACGTTCCTAGCTTCGAAAAGGAGCCGAACGAGACCACCAGGAATCCCGCGGACACCAGAAGAAAAATAACATCCAAAAGCGCACAAAGAACCGCGACGGTCGATCCACTTACGGTTACGTCCCCTCCCCTCCTCCTCCTCCGCCTCCTCCTCCTCCGCCTCCTCCTCCACCGCCTCCTCCTTGCCCGCTTCCTCTTCCCTTATCTTTCCGAACCAGAGGCGTTGCTGAACTCGACGACCCGACGCGCAGCGAGCGACCTCGTTCCGCAAACCACGCCCCGCGCTCCGAACGCCCCCCTGGACCACTTACAGTCGGACCTAAGCCAAAAGAGCATCCTTCAAGACCACGAGACCCTCCGTCGGCCAGGAAAATAATACATAACATCCAAAGATGCCTCCACCAGGATGCACAATAATATCCAAACAACACGAAAAGACTAGGGCACCCTCACCGAACCGACCTCGATCTCATACCTCGGTCCGACTGTATTCCTCCTCCTCCTCCTCCTCCTCCTCGTCTCCCCGTCCTCCCCCCGACGAGACGTCCATCTCTTTCCAAAAAACCCAAAACGGCATCCGCAGGTCCCCGAATAGCTCCTGATGTCATCGGAGGCAGAACACCTTCTCTTCCCCCTCCTCCCTCGTCACACCCCCCCACGTGGGGGAGGACGGACCGCAATGCGGTGACGTCTAGTACCGCTGGCACGGCTGCCGTAGGCCCAGCGGGGCGGTTGCTCGCCCACGCCCGGGTGCGAACGCGGCTTGGGGGCCGGAGCGCCATCCGCAAGTTCTGTATCTCCTCCTCCTCCTCCTCCACCTCCTCATCATCTGCATGTTCTCCATCTCCTCCTCCTCCCCTCCTCCTCCTCCTCTTCCTCCTCCTCCTCCTCCTCTTCCTCCTCTTCCTCGTCCGCCGCCTCCTCTTGAGCGCGCGCTAACAAGGATCGGGACATGCACTCTTGAAGCGTGAGGCCCATGCCGCATTGTGTGGCGACGGAACTCGCCGATCTCGTCTGGAAGCTACTCGTCGTTTGTCCACGCTGCCTTCGTCCATGTCTTCGGTCCTTCGACCCCCATCCTCCACCTCCACCCCGTTTCCCGCTCCCCCTCCTCCCGACCCACCCCGGCCCCCGAGCGCTCCGTATGGCGGAGGGGGGCCGAGGTCGCTCCCGCCGTGCGGAGGCCGCTGGTACCTCGGGGCGGCTTGCGAGACCGCATCTCTCTTTACCCCCGCTAGGCCCCCTCTCCATCTCCTGCTCCTGCTGCTCCAGGTCCTCCTGCTCCTGCCGAGCCACCGCTGGCGGACACGCGCGCTCGGTGACACTACTGCTAGCTACAACCTCCTCCTCCTCCTCCTCCTCCTCCTCCTCCTCCTCCTCCTCCTCCTCCTCCTCCTCCTCCCCCTCCTACTCCTCCTCCTCCTCCTCCTCCTCCTCCTCCTCCTCCTGCTGCTGCCCACGACGCAAACGCGCGGCCGCAGGCCACTCTGGCCGCGGGCGGCGGTGGGCGCGCAGCCGAGCGCCGACAAATCGACGTCGGCGCTCGCGTAGGTGCTGCACGACGCGCTCGAGGGCGGCGCGCCGGTGCGACAACCAACGCGGCGCGGCCCGGGCGCCCCGAGGTGGAGGAGGAGGAGGAGGAGGAGGAGGAGGAGGAGGAGGAGGAGGAGGAGGAGAGGAGGAGGGAAGGAGGAGGAGGAGGAGGAGGAGGAGAGGAGGAGGGAGGAGGAGGAGGAGGAGGAGGAGGAGGAGGGGGGAGGAGGAGGAGGAGGAGGAGGAGGAGGAGGAGGAGGAGGAGGAGGAGGAGGAGGAGGAGGAGGAGGAGGACCAGCGAGAGCAGGAGGTCCAGCGAGAGCAGCGTCTCCAGCCCGAGACGGCCGTGGGACTCCACCGTGATGGGCAGCACGTCGTTGCCGTAGCGCGCTGCCGCTGGGGCCGCCAAGCCAGGGCAGGAGGCGGCGCGTGTGTAGCGCTGCGCGTGTGGGCAGCGGATTGACAAGTCGATCTAGATCGGCTGCAGGCTGCCTGGAAGGTGACGTACAAGTCCATGATGACCTCCTCCGTGGAGCCATTCCTATTCGTCCGGCTCAGCTCGGAGACCGTGCGCTCCATGTCCACTTCCACACAGCACGTGCGCTGCAATCTGGCCACTGCTGCCGCGAGAGCCCTGTAGGGGCGCATGCACGCAAGCCCGTGCTTGCACAGCTGTGGATGCCGGAACGTGGGGTCCAACGGCTGCCCGCACATCTCCGCTCCAGCTCCACCCTGGCACGGGATACAGCATGTCGCTCCTCTGGGGGCACCCATAGCGCCAAGCATGCACAGGGACGCCACGCGGAAGTGGTACCACGGGAAGAACTCGGCAGGCTCGGTGGGTATCTGCAACCAGATCTCCCCAGCCCTGGGGCCTGCAGCTGACAGCATGCCTTCGCGCCGCTTGGCGCCGAGCCTGTGCCATAGGCGGGTCGCCACCAGCGCCTCGACGTGCCGGAGCATGCGGTTCGCGAAGCGCCTCGGCAACCCGGGCGGCCGCTGGCCAGGGGCGGCTGCTTGCAGCGTGGCCTCCAGCAGCTGTCCGAAAGTGTTACGGTCGTCCACGTCCTGGGCCCAGGGGCCGCCCCCGTACTCCTCCGCGGCCTCCGGCGCATGCCGAACCCCACCCTCGAGGTCGATGACGCCCTGGGCGGCCAGACGATACCGCACGCCCTCGGCATCGTCGGCACCGTTGCAGCCAGCGATGCGCAGCCCAATGCTTCTCCTGCGCCTGCTCCTGCTCGTGTTCCTGCTCATGCTCCTCCTCCTCCTCCTCCTCCTCCTCCTCCTCCTCCTCCTCCTCCTCCTCCTCCCCCTCCTGCTCCGCCTCCTCCTCCGCCTCCTCCTCCTCCTGCTCCTTCTCCTCCTCCTCCTCCTCCTCCTCCTCCTCCTCCTCCTCTTCCTCTTCCTCCTCCTCCTCCTCCTCTTCCTACCCGCCCCTCGTCCCCAGTGCTCCTCCCCCACACTGCTTCCCCGTCCTCCTCCGCCTCCCCAACCCTTCTCCTCGCGGAAGCCCCCTGAGGCCTGTGCGGACGCAGAGAATCAAGAGCCTCGATCATCCAACCTCGGCTCTCGGACCACGTCAGCCTTTTCCTTCCACCTCCTCTTCCTGCTCCCGCGCCCCCAGCACCCGCCGAACTTTAGATCGGGTGGCCACCGGGGCCAGGCGTGTGAGAAAGTCCGCTCTGGCCGCCGCCGCCGCCGCCTCGCACAGCCACACCGCCGCCGCCGCCGCCGCGTCCGGCCCACCTACCGCCGCCGCCTTGTTTTCCTCCTCCTCCTCCTCCTCTTCCTCCTCCTCCTCCTATTCCTCCTCCTCCGCTGCTCCTCCTCGCCCTCTGCCTCATGGTCCTTCTCGACGCCCCCTGCCCGGGGGGGGGGCGGGGGCCTCCGCCTCTTCTTCCGCTTTTTCCGGCCCCTCAACCTCTTCTGGCTCCTCCTCGCCGGCTGCCTCCTCCTCCTGGTCCTCCTCCTCCTCCTCCTCCTCCTCCTCCTCCTCGTCTTCCTCCTTGTTCTCGCCTCATCGACCCACGCTCCACGCGCTCCTCCTTGGACCCCCTCTCCCCGCCTCCTTCCTCCTCCCTCTCCTCCTCACCTCCTCCTCCCTCCTCTCCTCATCCTCATCATCCATCATATCCTCATCATATCATCATCATCATCCTCATCTCATCCTCATCTCATCCTAATCATCATCTCATCCTCCCTCTACTCTTCTCCTCCTCCTCCTCATCCTTCTCCTCATCATCTCATCCTCATCCTCATCCTCCTCCTCATCATCAATCATCATTCCTCATCCTCATCCGCCTCATTCTTAATCCTCATCCTCAGCATCATCAGATCAGCATCATCCTCATCCTCATCTCATCTCTCCTCATCCTCCTCCTTATCCTCATCATCGTCCATCATCGGCGTCATCATCATCATCATCGTTCGGTTTCGAGCCCCTGACGCACATCATAATCCAGCATCCTCCTCATCATCATCATCAGCATCATTCACATCATCAATCCTTCATCATTCTCATCCTCATCCTCATCCTCATCCTCATCCTCATCGTCAGCATAATCATCATCATCATCCTCATCCTCATCCTCATCCTCATCCTCATCCTCATCCTCATCCTCATCCTCATCCTCATCCTCATCCTCATCCTCATCCTCATCCTCATCCTCATCCTCAACCTCATCCTCATCCTCATCCTCATCATCATCATCATCATCATCATCATCCTCATCCCATCTCCTCCTTCCTCCTCCTCCTCCTCATCCTTCTTCTTTATCCTCATTCCTAATCCTCAGCCTCATCCTCACCTCATCCTCATCCTACTTATCCTCATCATCTCATCGTTATCATCATCATCATCATCATCATTCCATCAATCATTATCATCCTCATCCCTCTGCATAGCATCATCATCCTCACTTCAATAATCATCCTCCCATCCTCATCCTCATCCTCATCCTCATGCCCATCCCTCCTCCTCCTCATCCTCCTCTGCGCATCATCATCATCATTCATATATCATCATCATCATCCTCTGCTATCCTCCTCCCATCCTCATCATCATCCTCATCCTCATCTCATCCTCATCCTCATCCTCATCCTCATCATCATCATAATATCATCCTCATCCTCATCCTCATCCTCATCCTCATCTCATCCTCATCCTCATCCTCCTCATCCTCATCCTCATCCTCATCCTCATCCTCATCCTCATCCTCATCCTCATCCTCATCCTCATCCTCATCCTCATCCTCATCATCATCATCATCATCATCATCATCATCGTCATCATCCTCATCCTTCTCGCCACTCCTCTTCCAGCTCGGGTCCGCGGGGCGAAAATTGCCGGCCCTGGCGGACCCTGCGTGCGGGGCAGCAGGCGGAGGCTGGTGACCGTAGTAGCCGTAGCCCGCCCGCGGCGCCTGCGGCGGCGGGTAACCGTAGCCACCTGGCGCGTCGTCGTCGTCGTCGTCGTCGTCGTCGTCGTCGTCGTCATCTTCATCGACTTCGTGATCGAAATTGCAGTGGTCGCGGTCGCCGTCGTCAGCGTCGTCAGCGCCCCCGTGATCGTCAGCATCGTCGCCGTCATGCTCGTCGTCGCTGCATGGTTTTTGCGGTCTGGGGGGTTCGGGGGGCGTCCGGTGAACCCGACACCCAGGCGTAGCGAAAAAACAACGACGGGCGGTTCTTCTGAAACATTTGCGTGTTCGGGGGCCGGCGCTGCAGGGGCCCATGGCCGTCAGGAAACGGCCTAGGACAAGCTCGGGGGGGAGGAGGATGAGGCGCATGGCCGTCAGGAAACGGCTTAGGAATCGGAATCAGCGCTTGGGGGCGCTGGTGCCGGGAGGACGAGATGGGGAGGAGGACGAGGCGCTGTAGAGCTGGCTCGGTGCCTGGCCAGGCTTGACACTGCTAGCCCACCTCTCTGCTATGATACATTTACTGAAGATCTACCTGTCTAGTCTGGTGCTTAAGCGGGTCCGTCGTGTCTCGCTGGTAGCCCGGACGCCCGCCGCCCAGACCATCAACAAGCCGTAACCTTGGCGCGCAACTGGTCGGCTAGCCACCACAAGTGGCCTGCGATACCATTCCCCGATGGCCACAGCGGAGAAGACGGACATGCCGTCCACGTCCATCTCGGCCGGCACAGCGTCAACCCCCTCCCCCTTCAACCTCCCGATTTCATGGGCTGAGACGGGTCCGCGCACCATCTTGTGGAGCGTCAGGAGGCGCGCCTGCAGGCCGTCAGCTGCTCCCCATATTGCGAGCAGACTGAAGCAGAATGAAAACCTACACGCAAGTATGTGTGATCAGCCCACAGGGTCGGGCAATGGCAGATCTGTTCGCCAGTGCTGCGGCACTTGTTCCCGCACACCTATATATATATATATATATACATACACATACATATACACATACAAACATACACACATACATACATACATACATACATACATACATACATACATACATACATGCATACATGCATACATACATACATACACGGCGCCACGCATGCCGCATCCTGTCTCCTCATCACGCTTGAACGAGCCGTCGCTGTGCACGCAGGTCTGGCCTGCGCATCCCATCGCCGGGAAGGCGATGTCCTCTTTGATCTTCTGCATGGCCAGAACAACGGCACTGAGCTGCATAATGTGCCTGGTGAGCAGTGTGTTCTCGCCTCGTTGAAGCGCGACGGTGTAGACGGCAACGCGGTGTTGCGCGAGCGGCGCATGGGCGGCTGCTCCGGAGAGGGAGACAAGAAGGTTTGGAAGCGGACCTCCTTCTGGCTCGTCGGCTTTCGCCTTGGCCAGGTCGACGCGCCTGGCGGGGATCAGCGCGTCGATGTGCTCGTCCTGGTCGAGCGTCGCTGTACAATCGGCACTTAGGGGTTTGGTGTATAACGCAGTTGGTGAAGTCTTCGTAACCATCTTTCATTTTGCCGAAGACGCTTTCGATGTGGCCGATCAGCCAGTCCACGTGCTCCTTGCGTGCAGCGGTCTTTGAGTGGTCGGCGCCCTTGGACAGCATGAGCGAACCAACTATGAGCCGCAGGCGCCACGATCGTTTGTTTTCGCGCCCGCCGCAACAGCAAGGGCCCCTCTTACGCGAACGAGTTGCCTTCTCTTGGCGTGCGCACCAGGAACAGGAACTGATGAAAGCTCACGAAAACCTCGCCGCCCTCTTCCAAGGCCCTCTGCAGACAACGCTCGCTCTGTTTCAGCCACTGCCGCAATTCCGCGCTGCTGCGGCGGCGGCCGAAGCAGACATAGCACCTGCCTCTGCCTTGTTGAAGGACAGACCAGCCCCGACCAGCAGGGAGGCAACCGACACGGCAAGCAGGGGTGCAAGAAAGCAGTCGAGAAGCAGAGGAGGGACTCTCTGAGCCGAGACCTCCGACGCCGTGGATTTTTTTGTCTCGGAACGTGGGCCGGCAGATCTGAGCTGCGTACTGAAACGACACTGCTGTGAATACTAGCGCTTCAGTGCGCAGCAACACCGGACTTTTTCCCGACGCCAGCTTTTTCTGGGGCCCGTCAAGGGCCCCTGGAACCGTGGGAGGCGAGAGAAAACTGTCTTGACTGTTTCAAAACGTATGGTGTCCGTGGGCCCCCGAAGGTCCCGCCCCCTTCCTGGGACCGTTGTGTCATCCTGAAATCTTTTCTGGCTGTCCAGAAACCCGGTGAGGGCACCGTGAAGCCGAACCCCCTTGACCTGTTGTTCCCAACTCGCCTTCTGGGTCCCAGTTTGCCAATGCGCAGCCCGTTTCGGCCACCCCGCGCGGCACGACCGCCCGCGCCGCGACGGACAAAATGTGTCTCACGACGACAGCTTGGGGGGGGGGGCACAGCTCAGTGCCTCGATCCCACGGCGCTGCTCCCCTGTCCGCCTTCCTGCACGAGGCCTCGAGCCGCGCGGCCTCCCAAGAGGGCCGCTCCCAGTCGACCGCCGCGCTGGTGTTGGGCGGAGATCCAGCAGCTCGCTCTCGCAGGGTCGAGCAGCCCACTGCACCCTGAGGCCTGCGCCGCCTCAGGAGCCTCCCGCGGAGCCAACCATCACATAATCTCTTGTGAGGCGGCCTGCTCGCGAGCGACTGCCAACTCTTGAAGCTCTTATCATACTCTCCGGGGGATGAAGATAGAAGGGAAGGGGGATGATGATGATGATGATGGTGATGATGATGATGATGATGATGATGGTGATGATGGTGATGATGATGACGATGATGATGGTGATGATGATGATGATACTGATGATGATGATGATGATGATGATGATGAGATGATGAGGAGGAGGAGGAGGAGGAGGAGGAGGAGGAGGAGGAGGAGGAGGGAGAGGAGGAGGAGGAGGAGGAGGAGGAGGAGGAGGAGGAGGAGGAGGAAACTCTTGAGTGTGGGTCGGCCGCCGCGCCCAGCCCGCCGCGCGCTCCTCGGCGCCCACGGGGTGGGCCGCGGAGGCGGCCGTGCGCGCGTGACCTCCGCGGCGAGGCCACCTCTGCGCACGTGACCTCCGCGGCCCGTCGCGGCACGGCACCCTGTCGGGCGCGGCCGCCCGGGGCGCTGGCGCTGCGGGGCGCCCCCGGCAGGGGCGCTGGCCGCCGGACGTGCGCAAGGCGCGTGCGCTTGCCGGCGGGGGCAAGCGAGGAGAAGGAGAAGGCGGCTCGAGGAGGAGGAGGAGGAGGAGGAGGAGGAGGAGGAGGTAGACTCGCTCTCGCTCTCGCCCTCGCTGCAAAGGGTCAGGCTCGGCGGGCCTGGGTGGGTGTATCGCGCGTGGGCCGCACCCCCTCTGCTCGCCACCCGAGGGCAACTCGCTAAAAAACCTGGGCCCTAGGCTGAATATGCATGATGTGTAGCGGGGAGAGGGCAAGGCCGCCTGACCCGCTTGAGGAAAGGAGACAGCAGGAGAAGGACTACGAAAAGAAGGAGGCGAAGGAAAAGGGGGAGGACGAAGAGTAGGGGGAACTACTAGAACCAACCAGCCCTATTATCATCTCCCTGCCTCCTGCCCCCTCTTTCTTCTCTTCCTCCTCTCCTCAAAAAGACGTCGCTCTCGTCGCCGTCGTCGTCGTCGTCGTCGTCGTCGTCGTCGTCGTCGTCGTCGTCACTCTCGTCCTCGCGTCGTAGTCGCCCTCGTGGTGGTGATCGCCACTGCCGCCCCTGTCCGCGACGCCCTCGCCGCCGCCGTCGTCGCAGCGTCGTGGCCGTGGAGTCATCGTCGACGCTCTGGCCACAGCTGCAGCCGCCGCCGCCGCCGTCGTCCGTGGTCGCGGTGGTCGCCGCCGCCGCCGTCGGCGCGTGACGGCCGCCCGCCCGTGGACGCGGCGACGACGCCCACGACGGCGGCGGCGGCGGCCACAGCGATCGCGACGACGACGGCCGCAGCGACGACCACGGCGGCCAAGACCACGGCAGCGGCGGCGGCCACCGGCGGCGGCGGCCACCGGCGGCGGCGGCGGCGGGGCGACTACGGCGGCAGCGGCGGCGGAGGCAGCGAGCGCCTCCAGAGGGAGCGGCGTGCGGCGGGTAGTAGCCGTGCGGGCAGGGCGGCGGCGGCCTCGGCGGGGCCGCGGGGGGGGAGGGCACCGCGGGTGAGTCGCCGGCGCCGCCGCCGCCGTCGCAGGCGCCGTCGTGCTCGCCGCGGGTCGTGGCGGTGGTGGTGGTGGTCGGCGTGGCCGTCGGGGCCGTCGTGGTCGTCGTGGTGGCTGTCGTGGTCGCGATGGTGGTGGTCCTCCTCCTCCTCCTCCTCCTCCTCCTCCTCCTCCTCCTCGTCTTTGTTGCGGTCGCCGTGTGGTGGTGGTCGGCGTCGTCGCCGTGGCCGTCGTCGTCATCGCCGTCCTGGTTGTCGTGGCGGCGGCGGTCGTCGTCGCCGACAACCTCCCCTTCTCCCTCCCCGTGCTCCTCCTGCTCCTTCCCGCTCCCTCCAGGAAACAATGGGAACTGACTCACTCCCAGTCCCACTCGCGCCGGCATCACCGTTACCGATGCCTCGGAGGCCAATGCTGCATGCGGTCGGACGCGCGCGCTGGAGAGGCAGAGACTGCGCGCACGCGCTGGACTTGGCGGCGAGCGAGGGCGGGAAGTGAGAAAGAGAAGCCCTTGTCAGAAGGCTCGGAAGTCCCCCAGCCTTCTGAGAAGTCTTCCGCACCTTCCCCGAAGGCACGGCAAACCTCTCAGACGGGGCGGGGGCTTCTGAGAAGTCCCGCCGCCTTCTGAGAAGTCCCGCCGCCTTCTGAGAAGGCCTTCTCCTCCTCACGTCCCCCCGCTCGGATGACGCGTTCCACGTGCGACGAGCCCCCGCCAGTTGCTTGCCGACAAGGCTGCCACGGCTTAGACTCACCCGGGAGCGGCAGTTGTTTTGTCTCAAAGTAAAGCGCGAACAACCAAACAACGCCAGCACAGGGACCCGCGTCATCCTGCTCGCCGCCGATGGGCTGAGTGTGTGGAGGGCCATCCGGGCTAGGCAAGATCCCCTCTGGCAAAACACCCTTTGGTGGTAATAGCCCGCAGCCAGGCCCCGCGCGCACAGGCCCGCCAGCACTGCGGCCGCAAAGCCACCTCGAGTACCGAGGAAGGGCAAGTCGCTCCCCGACCACCACGAGGCGGGGGTTCAAACAACCGAGGCTGCAGTCAACCCGTATAAGAAGGACGCGCGGTGAGGATGCAAGGGCCGTGAAAGGCCGTTGCGAAGCTTGCCGAGCGGGGCGCCGCCAACGAAAGCGGCCAAGAATGGACCGAGGAGGCAAGGACGCAGGGGTACCCTCGGACAGGTTTTGCCCACCCTTACCATGCGGGCTGACTGTACATTGCCTTACAGGAGCTCCCTGCCACAAAGTCGTAGAAAAGTTGTTCCGTAGAACAAGGAAAAACACATAAACATAAACTTTGGCGCTCCGAACGGATCTCTTGGATTCGCGCTTGACCCCCCTCCCTGGTGCGGAGCGCGCCAGGGGCGGACCGAAGAAGTCCGCGCGGAGCGTCAACAATTTATGTTTACGTGGCTTTTCCTTCTTCGAATAGTTGCTTCCTAGATGGGGTCGGAGCAGATGTGGTCGGAGGATCGCACCGCATCGCCGATGCATCGGCGATGTATCGGAGATGCATCGGCGATGCACCAGCAACGTCGACGATGCACTGGCGACGCCGGCGTGGAGAAACTCGGGCTCCACATCGACCCGCATCGCGGATGCATCGTCGATGCGGCGCGATCCTTCGACCCCATCCACTCCGACCCCCTCTTCCTCCTCCTCCCCCTCCTCCTCCTCCCCCTCCCCCTCCTCCTCCTCCTCCTCCTCCTCCTCCTCCTCCTCCTCCTCCTCCTCCTCCTCCTCCTCCTCCTCCTGGGAGGCCTGGATCGAAGGAAACCTGTGCCCGACACCGCGTGGGCCGTTCGAGCCGGAGCGAGCTCCGCAGCCGGGGGCGCCCCCCCCCCGCAGAGGCTCTCCCGACCCGCCCGCCCCTCCGCGCGGGCTGCGCGCCGCAGGGTTGCCCTCCGCGGGCCGGTGGGGCCGGGCACGGGGGTGACGCGCGAAAACACATCGAATGATATCCGAAAGGATGGTGGCGATAGGATCTTTTCCTCTAACCAGCAACAACTGGGGCCAAGAGGGTGCCTACGGATAAACACAGCACCGAAAATCAGTACGGGGAGTTCAAGATCAGATGGATAGTATACACTGCATGAGCTCCTTTACTCAGGGGGGCCCTGGCCTCGCCCGCCCCTTGGAGCCGGCGCCCCCGCGCAGTCACCGCGCCAAGGCTTAGGTCGGGCACGTCCCCTGCAGGCGGATTTGGGGCGAAGAAGGACACGGGCACGAAAAATACTTCAAAATTCATCCAAAATAAGCAAACATCCTGCCCAGACTATGTTTGGATTGTTTTTTGAGCATTCCCCCTGTAGAGGGACACGCCCGACTTCAGCCAAGGCGGCAAGAACGCACCGCACAGCTTGCCATCGCTCGGACGCCCATTCCCAGTGCACTGTTCGGTCTCGTGCGTGTTTGTTTTGCCAGATGATCCAGGATGCTCCTCGACGATCCTCGCCGGAAAATGCACACGTCCGACCGATGCCAAGACAGCGCACTCTCGTCCACATCGATTTCACTCTGGCTCTAGCACCTCTGGGCACACCTGCCGGCAAGGCATAATACCTCGTGCAGGCAAGAAGGAAGACTGCATTGCGTGGCTGCGAGCTCAGGGGAGACTGGCCTCCTCCTCCTCCTCCTCCTCCTCCTCCTTCTCCTCCTTCACCCCCCCTCCTACTCTCGCCCCGCTGAAATCCCCCTCATAGAGCCCGATGCTTCGCCCAGGCAGTGCAGACCCGCACTCGTGCCAAGCATGGGATTTGCGCACGCGTGTCGATCCTGATCGTCTTTTTGCGTGGCTTCCCTGGTGACGGACCGTGTGGTGCCTCACCGCCAACACGGGGAGGAAATGAGGGAGGGAGGGAGGGAGGTAACGCAGGACCTCCAGAAGCTCCTGGTGACCGCTGGGGGAGGAGGTCAGCATCGTCCTCTCCCCATCGTTCTCTTCATCCCCCCGCCTCCCACCTCTTCTTGAGGGGGCGTGGGGGAGGAGGTGCGGGACCGCACGCCTCCCGAATGAAAACACGCAAAGCTCCAAGAACTATAGATTTTCACCCAAGATCACTGTCTGACAGTCCCGCGGAGCCTGAAGACGGCCCCCGAAGGCCAGAACCTCGCGCCCAGATAATTGTTCCCGGGCGCCGACAAACTTGGGCGGGATCAGGATAAAGAGGAGGCCTCCTGCCTCCCACCAGCCCCATCCTCTATATCGGTGAAGCAAACCAGACAGAATTCACGAAGGCGGAAAAATTCCGAATACCTAGATCCTCCTCGTCTTGTTCTTCATCCTCCTCCTGCTCCTCCTGCTCCTCCTGCTCCTCCTGCTCCTCCTCCTCCTCCTCCTCCTCCTCCTCCTCCTCCTCCTCCTCCTCCTCCCCCTGCTCCTCCCCCTCTCTCCTTGGAGGCCTCCCAGATGGGCCGATTTTCAGAGATTTCGAGTTACCCCGATCCGATTGTGTCCCGATCTTCGTGTCGTTTTACTGCATGCAGCAAATTTCGTACCCCCCCCCTCTCCCTATGCCCCCCCTTTCGTCCGGCCCGCAAAATGCTTTCCTCTCTCGGGGGTTTCTTACTTCCACCACCTCCCGCCGGCCTCCGCCCGCGGAGGCGGCCCCCCTTGTACTTCCGCCGCGAGAAAGAGACGGCAACTCCTTTCTGCCCTCGGAGGCAGGGAGGGCGAGGAGGAGGAGGAGGAGGAGGAGGAGGAGGAGGCCCTTTTTAGAACGCCCCATGTGAGCAGCCTGGAGGCTCCCCCTCACACTCCACCCCCTCCTCCAAAGAGGTGCCAGAAACGGATCGACAAGTCGGATCGGCGATCGGCATGAATCGGGCAGGCGGACATCGGCAGCTGAGCTGGGGTAGTCGAATCGGTGGAGGTCGGCGGGCTAGTAATGCCTCCGATGAGGAATCAGAATCCAAATCGGAATCCAAGAACGAATCGAATCGGAATCGCAGGCCATCGTAATCGAATCGAACTGGAGGAATCGAGATAAGGCCTCCTCCTCACTCCTGCTCCTCCTCCTCCTCCTGCTTGTCCTGCTCCTCGCCCTCCTCCCCCCTGGCGCAGCCGCGAGGGGTCGCGACCGCGGCCACGGGCGCCTGTATGGATCCCAGGGCGGCGGCCAGTGATGCCTCCGGCCGGGTGCGTGTGGGAACAATTCCGTGGACATTTCCTGGTCCCCCATTTCCCTCCTTTCCCACCCTCCCTCATCATCTCGAGGAGAGGCAGATGAGCGAAGCAAGAAACAATCAGCATTTCGACGATCCTGCTCTTTCACTGACCTAAGGTGAGCCAGGATGACGATGTCCTACAACCACAGAAACTTGTCAATCATGACATTCGGCATGGAGACGATCTGAGAGATACAGGAGCTCTTTTGTTCACAGAATAAGGCATACGAACTTAATGAACACCGCAAAAGCGTCGTCCAAACCGATCTTGCTATGAATTTCATGTGGCGTAGGCCAGCACAGGTGGCCCAAGGCAATGGTGGACGTTCTTTGCTCACGCCCGTGAACAGTGACACTGTCGTTCTTGGTCTCTGTGTTATCTCAGGCGCTCATTCACCAACAAATGCGTGTTGTGTGCGCTTACGGGACTGAAACACCGGCCTAAACAAGTGAACGACATTTGAGGCCTGAATGCTAGAAACAGAGACGATCCGCGAGGATCGAGGCCGATTGGCTTAGAAAGGTATAACGAATGTGTTTATCAATATCTGCTTGCCAAGGCTGGGATCCGTCGAACTTCTGACCAAAACACGCCACATGAGAGGTCCAGGGGGCGAATCCTCTTCCCCCGTCAGATACGGCCTTCCTTGCAGACATGCGCCGGGGGGCTTGGCCACGTAAAGTCCCCCAGTCCAGTTCGGCACAACCCTCACACGCTTCGTGACCCCACCGGGAGCTCCACGGGAGGCCCAGCGGGGCTAGGCCACACAGCGACCCCCAGTCCATTTCGGCACACCCCTCACATGCTTTGTGGCCAATGAAGATCTTCACCGACGCCCCAATGGGGTGGGGTAGGGCTCATCGCGTCCTGCAGCCCATATCGGCGCACTCCTCATCCGCGTCGTAGCCCCATACGGAGCCTGGCCGAAGCCCCCCGGGGGGCTAGCCCACACAGCCCCCCAGACTCGGCGGCCGCCTGAAGGGGCCGTGCTGCAGAACGCGACGCGGGATGCAGAGCGTCAGCCCGGTGCCCAGGCTGGCTGGAGTCGAAGCTGGCTGGAGCGTCAGTGAAGAACAGAGACTGGGATGCCCACCCGGCCCCCGAGCAGGGTCGCAGGCTCGACTCTGGCCCGCGTGCTGCCACAGATCAGCCTCCACCGCCGCCGCCGCCGATCTGGCCGTCACCGCCACCGATCTGGCCGTCACCGCCGCCGTGCGCCGTGCCCCTCGCCGCCCGGGCAACGAGCCGCCGGGCCAGGCGGCGGCGCTGGCCGCGGCGCAAGCGCCCCGCCGACTGGTGCCACGCCGCGGCTCCACGCCGCCGGCCCGCTGCCGCTCGGCAGATTCCCCCGGCGTCTCAGGAGGTGCTCGTCGCCATGGCTGGGCGCGTCGCTCGAGGAGTTGGTCAGGGCGGGCCCCAGGAAGGGTCTGGGGCGCTGCTTCCGAGTGGCTCTGTGGGGACGCGCGAACCGGCCCCAGCCAGGCGGAGAAGCGGCCCATCTGCACCACGCTGGATACTCCACAAGGCGCCAGGGGGTGGCAAAGCGCTCAGGTGGGGAGTCGGAACAGGACTGGTCTGCGGCAACTCATGGAGCCATCATCATGTTGGCTATTGCGAATCGACGTTAATCGTCGCTCAATCGACGCTGGTCGAGGTTACATCGGCGCTTTCTCATCGAATACCAGACGCTGGCGCACGCGAGTGCACTCGAAAAGATAGAATTGCGAGGACATGCAAGGCCCCCATGCGCTGCTACCGAAGGAATGTCCTTTCGGGGCGTGGAGGAGGAGGAGGAGGAGGAGGAGGAGGAGGAGGAGGAGGAGGAGGAGGAGGAGGAGGAGGAGGAGGAGGAGGGGAGGAGCGGGAGGAGGAGGAGGAGAAGGAGGAGAAGGAGGGGGAGGAGGAGGGGGAGGAAGAGGAGGAGGAGGATGATGAGAAGGAGAGGAGGAGGAGGGAGGAGGAGGGGAGAAGGAGATGGAGGAGCAGGAGGAGGAGATGGCGGAGGAGGAGAGGAGGAGGAGCAGGAGGAGGAGGAGGAGAGGAGGAGGAGGAGGAGGAGGAGTGCCAGGTGGAGGGGGGGTGGAAACGGTGCTGCTGCGCCCCGTGGGGCGGGGCGTTCTCGGTGGTCGCGGGGGGGAGGGGGCCAGCGGGCGAGTTGCCATGGAGGAGGGTGCTGCTCGCGAGGCAACTCTGGGCAAAGTCGAGGGCTATGCGGACCCCTTGAGCTGCAAGAGATGTTTCTGATGAATGGTGCAGCTGCTGTGGAACAATTTGTGCGGATGAGGCTGCTAAGAGAGCGGCATTGCCACACAATCGCCCCTCTCAAGGAAAGTTCAAAACGGGACCGATCAGAAGCAAACCCTCCAACAATATCTAACTTGCGTTTCTAAACAGCCCGCGTTGTAGGCGAGGGAGGCGCACCACAGAGCCAAGAAGCGCTGGGGTACGGGAGGCGCCTACCTCGTGAAGGTGTTACCTCCGTCAGGCATCAAGGCTGGGCTGGAGGTACTACCCAGGGTGCCCCAAGGTCAACGGCCGCCGACCCCGCTTTCCCCTTCCTCCATTGGCAGCATCCTCCTATTCCTCAACCACGGCGGCGGCGACCCCTGGCGTCAGGAGGGTGGGCCCGTGGCGTAAGCGTAGAATAGGAAACAACAATTTAAATTGAGCCCGCAGTGGTGGGCATGCAAGAGCTGCCAGAAGCACAACGGGAAGAATCCTCTTCAGTTATACGTTGTCGAGGAAATGAGGGAAAGCGAGGAGAAGGATGCGCAGAGTTAGGTTGGACGCGCTGTCTGGCAGAGTTAGGTTGGATGCACCTGCCCTGACCATCACCTCGTTTCCCACCACCAGCCAGGGCCGAGTTAGGTTGGATGCCCTGTCTGGCTGAGCTAGGTTGGATGCACGCGCTCTGACAATTAAACGAATTCGGCTGGATGCTTTGCCTGGCCGGCTTAGCTTGCACGCACTTGTTCATGCCGGATTAGAGCACACATGCGCCCGTTACGCAAACGTGGGGACGAGAAGGTGCCAGGAGAGTTTCCCTTATAGGAGATGTCTTGGCTTAGATGTGTGGAAGACATGTGAGGACTTGGCGGGCTCCATCTGGTGTTCAAGTGTTGGCGACAGGTGATCCTAGCGTGGTGTGTGTAACCTTTTACCCGTTCGCGGGTCGATGGCGCCATCCGCTTTCGAGCTGGTGGTCTTGTCGCTCCCCCCCTCCGCCCTAATTAGGTCCCCGCCGTTTGCGTCAGCGCAGGACTCTCTCGAAGACCCCCGTGCTGAGCAGGAGGGGATGGGAAGGGGTACCCCCGCCCCCCCCCCCTCCCAGGAGAGCCCAGAATCGAATCGACAAGTCGGATCGGCGATCAAAACTACTTGGCCCTGCGGAAATCGGCAGCCAGGTCGGGAGAAGCTGCATCGTCTGCGGACATCGGCAGGCTGGTAAGGCCTGCATCGAGAAACCGAAGCCCACACCGGCATCCGAAGTCGGACCGGAAAAGCGGAAGACGTCCAGATCGAACGGAATCGAGCCAGAGTCGTCGAACTGCGCCTCGTCCTCCCCCGCCCATCCCTCCCCGCTCGGGCGCGGCCTGACTGACCTCTGGCAAACCACCCCCTGCTGTGACGCCACCCTCGTCTGTCAAGCTTCCCTCGGGCCGCATACAGACAATCGGAGCTGGGACAGAAGAACATCCTTCAAGAAAATGAGACCCTCCGCTGGCCAAAGCACATAGAGAACAGCTGAGGGTGTCCTCCTCAGGATACACAAGAACATCCAACAAGCACGAAGAATATGAAGGTACCCTCCTCGAACCCATCTCGATCTTATACCTCGGTCCGACTGTATGTCTTGGGGCGCGGCGAAGGGGAACGTCACGGCAGGGGATGGTTTGCGAAGGGCCAGTCGGGCCGCCCCTGGCCTGAGGGGCATCGATAGGGGGGGCCTGGCAGATTGGCGGTGCGCACAAGGGGCTGGAGGGAGGGGTGAGGGCTTCTTAGAAGAAGGCTGCTTCTTTGGAAGGCGCCGGCCTTACATCTATAGAAAAGGTCCGTGCCTTCTAAGAAGCTGGGGTGCCTCTAAGAAGCCCTCCCCCCCTCTCCCCACCGCCCTCTGCGCGTGGCTGAGCTTAGGAGGGGATGAAATCGACATGGAATCGGCGATACATCGCCGATAGATCGGCGATAGGCCCCCGATAGCGACACCGCACCTTCCTGGGCGAGGTGGGGCTATCAGACCCCTTCCGGCGATCAATGGGCGATTAGGGTTCGATGCATACCCCCCTATGCCTATCCCCAAATGGTTCTCGGGCCATAACTCGGCAAACCGGCGGACGTTTGGAACGATTCCAGCAACCCCGGAACGCCCTCGACGAGGCGCAGCTGTTGGAACGCATCCCGGGGCCGGGAAGCCGCCGCGAACGGACAAAAACGACCGAATACCTAGAACTTCGAATCGAAAACGACGGAGAACCTGTGCATATGCCCCCCGATCGTTGCCCCTGATGACCCTCCCCCGAGGGGGGTAAGTGAGAAGGAGGAGGCCTTCTCAGAAGCCGGAGAGACTTCTTAGAAGCCCTCGCGCCTTCTGAGAAGCTTGCTGTGTCTTCGGGGAAGGCTTCGAAAGCTTCTCAGAAGGCTGGGGGACGTCCGAGCCTTCTGAGAAGGCCTTCTCCTTCTCCCTTCCCCCCCTCGCTCGCTGCCGAATAGGTGAAGGCACGGATGCACAAAGACACAAACTCTCGGAGCGCCACACGGATTTGTCTTGGAGATCGGCGCTGGAGCCCCGCCAGAGGCGCCGCCGAAAAAGGTTCCCAGCAGCGATCTCCAAGAAAACTCCGCGCCCACCCCCAACAGTTCATGCTCAAAACTCTCGGGGGGGAGGGGGAGAGGTGGGGGAGGGGGAGGAGGCAAGCTAGTTACGCTCGCGTCATATCTGACGTCGTACCCCTCCCTCCCATCCCTTACCATGGCGTAGATCTCCTCTCTATTCGTACAATCGGATGTCGTAGCATGGCACAACCTTACACGACATAGCATGGTGTTGAAGATCAACGTGTAACATGACATAGCATGGCGTGACGACGCCCCATTAGTGGGGGGGACTTCGGCAGCCCCAAACATTAACGAATCGATGCCCAATGTGTAATCACATCCGACGGTTTTTTCGGGGCCGATTTGGAACGACAGGAAACCATGTCGTGGCATGGCGCTGGAAATAATGACGCCAACGCTGCAGCGGGAGCACGAGTCGGAACGAGCGGAAGCCCGAAAAGGAGGCCAGCGCTTGAGCGAGAGCAGCATTCTGAACAAAAAACCTAAGCGCGGCGGCGCGGAAATGAGGACGCGTAGCCTGAAATAGCGTGGCGTGGCGTGGCGACACCCCATAGTGGGGGGGGCGTCTGCGGCCCAAAAAAGTCAACGAATCGACACCGAAAGTGGGATCACTTTCGATAGTTTTCCCGGGGGGGCCAGTTTCCAGATTTTGGGGCCTATTTGGAAGGACCAAAAACCATAGCGAGGCAAGGCGCTGGAAATAATGATGACGCCAGCGCTGCAGCGGGAGAACAATTCGGAACGAGCGGAAGCGCGGAAATGAGGTCATCGCTTCAGCGGGAGCACGATTCGGAACGAGCGGAAGCCCGAAAATGAAGCCAGCGCTTCAGCGAGAGCAACATGTTGAATAAAAACCTAGCGAAAACACGTTTGCCTTGGGAACATTCGGCGGCGCGTTTCGAACCGGGGTGTGGGCCCCCCGCCCCTCCAACACTCGGCGCCGTCGATCAAAACCAAGGGGACTCCCCTCCTCCCCCAACCCCCCCCCCTCCCAAACCCCGCCCCCCCCCTGCGCCGGCGCCGGCGGCCGCCAACTGGGGACGCAGCGACGATGGCCAGAGGCAGCTCAAGGGAAGGGGGGGTTCAACCCCACCCCCACCCGGCGCCGGCGGGGACGCAGCGACGATAACCACCACTACCACCACCACCACCACCATCGCCTCAACCCACCACCACCACCACCAACCCACCACACAACCACCACCACCACAGACCACAGCCACCACCACCAGCACACCCACCACCACCACCACAACGCACCATCACCACCACCAGCACCACCACCACCACAAAAACCCACCACCACTACCACCACCACCACAATCTGCCAAGCCACCACCACCACCGCCACAACCACCACCGCTGCCAGCAGCACAACCCACCACCACCACCACCACAAACCACCACACTACCACCACCACGACCGCCACCACCACCACCACAAATCACAACCACCACCACAACCCACCACCACCACAAACCACCACCACACAACCACCAAACCACCACCACTACCACCACCACCACAACCCACCACCAGCACCAGCACCAGCACCAGCACCACCACAAACCACCACCACACCACCACCACATCACCATCACCAACACCACCAGCACCACCCACCACCACAACTACCACCGACACAAACCACCACCACACCACCACCACAACCACCACTACCGCCACCACCACCACCACAACCCACCACCACCACCACCGCCGTATTCGTCGACGCTCCCCGCCGCCGCGGCCCGCCGCCGCAGGCGCCGGCGCCGGCCCAGAAAGGAAAATTGTCGTCCCCGCCGCCGCTGCCAGCCGCCCGCCGACGCAGGCGCGGGCCCGAGGAGAGAGGAGAGGAGGGAGGGGTAGGGAGGGGGGGGAGGGGGGGGTCCATTTTCCCCCCCCCCCCCCTCCAAGCGACCACCAGGACCGCGCTCTTTCTTCTGGAATCCTGTGTAAAAACTAATACCGCGGTTGGGGAGCGAAAATTTCCCGGACGCGCCACCAGGGGATAGAGGAGAGTATGAATTCAACTTGTGTAATTGTGAAAGGGGGAAAGGGGAGAGGGGAGGAGGGGGGAGGGGACGGGGGGGGGGAGGAGAGGGGGAAGGGAGGGAGGGGGGGAGGGGGGGGAAAAAGAGGGAGGAGGGGGGAGGGGGGGAGGGCAAGCTAGGTGCGCTCGCGTCATGTCTGGCATCCTACCCCTCCCTCCCATCCCTTACCATGGCGCAGATCCCCTCTCTACTCGCACAGTCGGATGTCGAGCAGGGCAATGATCCCGAAAGGGTACGCAATGCATTGTAGAGCACGGCATGGCATGGCGTAGAAGAGCACCGCAAAGCGTAGTATCAACCTAGCATTGCATTGCATGCCGTGGCATGGCACGGGAAATGACGCCAGCGCTGCAGCGGGAGCACGAGTCGAAACGAGCGGAAGCGCGGAAATGAGGCCAGCGCTGCAGCGGGAGCACGATTCGGAACGAGCGGAAGCACGGAAATGAGGCCAGCGCAGCAGCGGGAGCACGATTCGGAACGAGCGGGGCCCGAAAATGAGGCCGGCGCCTCAGCGAGAGCAGCATCTTAAAAAAATGCAAGCGAAAATCCAACTCCGGGGAAACCTGTGTGTAAAAAACAATGCGCGGGGTGGGGTCGGCCACTTACAAACCGACATCAGGGAAATAGGGAGAGTATTTTCGTATTCATATTGATAATTGTAGAGGTGGAGAGGGAGAGGGGGGGGGGGGGGGAGGAGGGGGGAGGGAGGGATGGGGGGGAGGCGGGGGGGGCAAGATAGGTGCGCTCGAGCGTCATATCTGACGTCCTACCCCTCCCTCCCATCCCTTACCATGGCGCTGATTTCTCTATCCGCGGTCCGTGTCGTAGCGGACCTGTGCTCCGCGCGCGGCGTAGTGGGTGGTGTGCGCGTGCGTGCGTGCGTGGCCGTGTGGCGTGTTGTGGTGGGTGGTGGTGTGCTGCGCTGCTCGCTGGTGGTGGTGGTGGTGGTGGTGGTGGTGGTGGTGGTGGTGGTGGTGGTGGTGGTGGTGGTGGTGGTGGTGCGGGCGGATGGGCGCGCGAGAAAGAGGCCCGCGCTGGGGCGAGAACGCCATCCTGAACGACGGAGGCCAAACACCGATCCGAAAATGAGGTCCACGCTGCAGCGGGAGCACGATTCGGAACGATTCGGGAGCAGAAATGAGGCCCGCGCCTCAGCGAGAGCAGCATTTTGAAAAAAAACACGCAAGCGAAAACCCGTTTCCCGGGAATCCTGTGTAAAAAAAACAATGCACGGGGGGGTGTCGGATATCTTCGGGACGCCATCAGGGGAAGTGGGAGAGTATTTTCATATTGTGTAATTGTGGAGGAGGAGGGGAGGAGGAGGGGAGGGGGGGGGAGGGGGGGGTCTCGATCTCGATCTCTCGAGAGAGAGATCTCGGTGTCGACCTCGACCTCGCCGCCCGAGGGGGGAGGGGCCCGGGCCCCCTGCGCGCCGCGGCCCCGCGACGGGGCCTCGGCGGTTCCTCCCAGCGCCGCCTGGCCGCGGGCCGCCCCGAGCGGCTGCGCGAGCGGCTCGCGTTGCCGTCCTGGCCCGGCAGGCGCGCGCGCGCGGGGGGCGGAGGCTGCCAGAGGTGCATGGGCCTGGGGGCTCGCAGACAAATCGTCGTCGTCGTCGTCGTCGTCGTCGTCGTCGTCGTCGTCGTCGTCGTCGTCGTCCTTGTCCTCGTCCTCGTCGTCGCCCTCGTCGTCGTCGTCGTCCTTCGTCCTCGTCCTCGTCCTCGTCGTCGTCGTCGTCGTCGTCGTCGTCGTCGTCGTCGTCTTCGTTGTCGTCGTCGACTTCGGCGTCATCGTCGTCTTCGTCATCGCTCAGGGTCGGCGGCACTGGCCGTAAGGCCTCTCCAATAAATAGGCACAAATCCCAATTTCCCAATACTTTCCCACGTGTTCTGGGTGTTCGTCTCCCCCCACACTGTCCATAGTTTCCCTTCGTGTTCCTGGGAATCGACGCTGATCTGTGTCTGTGTTTTTCCCCTCCTGAAGAAGGTGCCCCCTGGCCCAAGGTGTCCCCAGCGTTTCGCTCCATGCTGGAGCTCCTGGTGACCAAGAGAGAATGCGAGATCCCGATCCCAGAATCGCTGACGGACCGAGGATTCGAGGATCGGCAAACAAAGATTATGGGGTATGGTTTGCCTTCGTAGTTGTTCCCCTCGCAAGACCCAGCCCCGAAATCGCCAGCAGCCTGCGTTTTGCTGTGGCGCTCGCGTTTTCGGGGTTGGGCGGCTGTTTAAGCTCACTCCCCTGGGGTCCCCTGGGCCTCGTGAGGGGTGCTCTGGAGGCCGGGGGGGCATCCTCGGGAAATCCTGGGTGGGCACCTCTGGGCCAGAGACACTCCCCCCCCCCCCCCCCCCTGGCAGGACCCGTAGCTGGGCGGAGTGGGAGGGATCCAGATGGGGTCCTAGAGATCCCGAGTCGGCGTTACGCAAAGGGATGGGGGGGGATGGGGTGGGGGGGCGCAGGGGCTCCTTTCGGGGGGGGGGGGGGGGGGGGGGGGGGGGGTGAAACGTGTACCTGTCGTACCCTTTTTGGGCCCAAGGGGGCCCATTTCGGCGAACTGCAGGTGCTCCTCTCGTCCCCCCCCCCGATCCATCGACCCACCATTACTCGACGCCCGAGATCCCGATATCCGAGGGCCGCCGCTCGTCGGGCGCCAGCGTGGAGGGCGTTGTCGTCGTCGCCGCCGCCGTCGGCCGCTGCCGACGTCGACTTCGTCGACGTCGCCGTCGACGTTGTCGGCCGCCGTCGTCGTCGGCCGCCGTCGACGTCGTCGTCGCTCGGGCTTCGGGGGGGAGGATCGAGGATTCGCGTTTTGGACCACCTTGGGGCCTCCAGAGGCTGTCGGGGGGCGTCGTCAGTCGTCGCCGTCGTCGCCGCCGCCGCCGCCGCCGACGTCATCGCCGTCGTCGTCGTCGTCGTCGTCGTCGTCGTCGTCGTCGTCGTCGTCGTCGTCGTCATCGTCGTCGTTGTCGCCGTCGCCGTGGTCGTCGTCGCCGTCGCCGTCGTCGTCGCCGTCGTCGCTGCCGCTGCTCGGAGCTCCGAACACCGCGAGGCTCCGGGGACGGAGCACGGGACGTGCGCTCCGGGGGCGTGCCCGGCGAGCGCTGGGCACGCGAAGGCCTCGGGAGCCCGCTGGAGGTCGGGGCCCGTGGGCGGCACCGCGTCTGGGCGGCCCCGTGCCCTCCGCGGTGCCGCAGGCGTGCCGCCAGGAGCGGCAGCCGCGCCGGGAGCGGGAGGACCCCTCGATGGGGGCGAGGACGGCAGGCCGAGGCCACACGCCGAACCTGCGAGTGCGGATCGGGACACCGAGACAGAGGACACGCGGTCGGAACGAGGCGCGAGCCGTCCTTGCTCCTGATTGCTCCTCCTCCCCCCTCCTTCTCCCTCCCCTCGTGGTCGTCGTCGTGGTCCTCCTCCTCCTCCTCCTCCTCCTCTCCTCCTCCTCCTCCTCCTCCTCCTCCTCCACCTCCTCCCCCCCCCATCCATCCTCTCCTCTACCCCTCCTCCTCCCTCCTCCTCCTCCTCCTCCTCCTCCTCCTCTCAACTTCCCTCCGTCCCACCTGCTCCTACTCTGCATATCCTCTCCGCTTTCTCGCTCCTCCTTCTCCTTCGCCTCCTCCTCGTCCTCCTCCTCCTCTTCCTCCTCTTCCTCATCCTTCCTCCTCCTCCACTTCCTCCTCCTCCTCCTCCTCCTCCTCCGCCTGCTCCTCCTCCTCCTCCCTCCTCTTGCTTGCCTCGTCCTCCCTCCTCTTGCCTGACTGTCTCCTCCTACCTGCCTCCCTCTGACTGCTGCTGCGCCATCTCCTACTCCTGGCCTCTCTGCCTCCCTCCATAAGGCTTCCCAGATAAGGATTTCATACAGAGGATTCCTCACTGAGGATTCCTCACTACGTATTCCCTGCTAAGAAATCCCCACGATGGATTCATTACCAAGGATTCCTTACTGCAGCTTCAAGCTTCACTGCTCCTCTGCTTCCCGCCTGCCACTCCTCCCTCCGAACCTCGCCCCGTCCCTCTCCCAACAGGTCGACGGAGGGAGGAACGGTGACGGCGGGGGAGTGCGGACGGAGGCGGATCGGGCCGCCTGCCTCCCCCACTGCGGCCCTTTCCCCGCCGTAGCTGCACCTCCCTCTCTCCTTGCCGTCCTCCTCCTCCGCCACTTCCCTAAATATGGTCATACATATATATATATATATAGAGAGAGATAGATATCCCCCTCCCCCTGCCCCATCTCATCATCCTCACCTCCACCCCCACTCCCCCCTCCCCCTCCTCTCCGTATCCCTGTCGCTCATTCCTCTCCACTTTCGAATTATCGTCCTCCTCCTCCTCCTCCTCCTGCTTCTGCTCCTCCTCCTCCTCCTGCTCCTCCTGCTCCTCCTGCTCCTCCTCCTCCTCCTCCTCCTCTCCTCCTCCTCCTCCTCCTCCTCCTCCTCCTCCTCCTCCTCCTCCTCCCCCCCGTCCTCCTCCTCCTCCTCTTTTCCTCCTTCCCCCCATCCTCCTCCCCAAGGAGGGGGGAAAACTAGGAGGGGGAGAGAGAGAGAGAGAGATAGAGAGAGAGAGAGGGAGGGGGAACCATGACAAGGAGGGCAGGGGGATGAGCAGAGGAGGAGCGGACAATCACCCCGCCCCTTCCATCCTCACCCGTACCTCTCCCTCTCCTCCTCATCGGTCGACTCCTGCCGGCGGTTGTCGGGCTTCGGCCGCTTGTTGTTGCTGCCCTTGCCCCCGCTGCCCTTGCCTCCGTCTGCGGGGGGCTTCCTGCCGTCTGCGCGCCTCGCGTGGCAGACTCCTGCGCCTCCTCGTCCCCCAATCCTCCGTCATTGCCTTCTTGGGCATGCCGCGGGAGCGAGCGTCCGTCCTTTCCACCTCCTCCTCCTCCTCCTCCTCCTCATCCTCCTCCTGGTCCTCGTCCTCCTCCTCCTTTCCCTTCTTCTCCTCCTCCTCCTCCTCCTCCTACTCCTACTCCTACTCCTCCTCCTCCTCCTCCTCCTGGTCCTGCTCCTCCTCCTCTTGCTCCTGCTCCTCCTGCTCCTCCTGCTCCTCCTGCTCCTCCTGCTCCTCCTTGCTCCTCCTGCTCCTCCTCTCCTCCTGCTCCTCCTGCTCCTCCCTCCTCCTCCTCCTCCTCCTCCTCCTCCTCCTCCTCCTCCTCCTCCTCCTCCATTCTTTTTCCGTATAAATAGCTTCCCCTGTCGAACCCCGAGGCCAGATTTTGGGGCGGGCCGGGCGTTTCGCCTGAAACTTCCTCGCCATTTATAACGCTAAGCTTAAAGGCTGGCGACAGCTTCGCAGATGGAGGGGCGGGTCGTTTTCAAAATGTGACTCTCGCCTTTTCGGCGCACGTTCGTTTTTAAACTTTGCAAGGGCTTCGCGGATTGAGAGCGGGTCGTTTTCAAAATGTGGCTCTCGCCTCAGCGCGGCGCACATTCGTTTTAAACATGTGCAAGAGTTTCACGGATTGAGGTCGAGTGATTCTTTAAATGTGGCTCTCGACTCAGCGCGGCGCACATTCGTTTTAAAACTTTGCCAGGGCTTCACGGCTTGAGGGCACGTGTTTATTTATAGCGCGGCGTACATTCGATTTAAACATGTGCAAGAGTTTCTCGGATCGAGGGCGAGTGTTTTTTCAATGTGGCTCTCGCCTCAGCGCGGCGCACATTCGTTGTTTTGTTTTTTCTTTCCAAATTGCAAGGGCTTCACGGATTCCCATCATCAACGTACCCGAAGTGGTGTTTTGGAAGGATTCATGAATATACGGGTGCAACAGTTACGTTGGTTCCCTGTGTCGAAGTCCTAGGGATGACGTTCTGGCGCGATTCAGGATCGTCAATACGCAACAGTCAGGTTGACCTGTGGTGTTGGAATCCTGAGAACAATATTTTGGCATGCTTCAGAGTCTTCAAACGGGTGTCTTCCAACGAGGCAGTTTCATCAATGGACATGAGCCGTTGTAGGGGCCTGTGAAGAGGGAGCTTAGAGGGAGGGTTTACTCCAACGTCGTTGATGACTCTTCGATTTGCACTGGTCCTCCCCTCCTCCTCCTCCTCCTGCTCATTCACTGGCTACTTCTCACTACTTTCGCTGCTTCAGACCCTCCCTACCCCCTCCCTACCCCCTCCTCCCATCCATATCCCCACCCTCCTCCTCCTCCTCCTCCTCCTCCTCCTCCTCCTCCTCTTCTTGTTGTTCATAGAAAACGATGGCTTTCTTAAGAAGTCGCAAGCGCGCGAGCGCACGTTTTTTTCAAACGTGCGTTGCGAACTCGTGTGTTTTTAATGTGTGTTTGGGACACTCGATTTTGAAACCGCTACAAAACGGAAGATGTTTGACGGATGTCGGCATGCGCGCGCGACGACGCGCGCGCGTGCATTCCGTCAATAGTTTTGCAAAAGGGTTTTGAAGACTTATGATCTTTATCAAACGAGTGCGCGTGCATAGTTTTTTCCAGAAGATGGCGGGGGGGCGATACCAGTAGGGCTGGGACGTTATGAATGCATATTTAGAATGGGCGATGGGGCAGAATCGTAGGTACATTGCAATACTACAAGGAAGGCGGATAATGCCAGGAAGGGGGTAGAGTCTATTCTCTTCGTAGAAAGGAGAATCACTGTAGTGCGATATGTGTGGTACAGTCTAGGTGATGCGCAAACTATGTGGTGTTATCGATGGGAATAACCGATATGGTGCAATCTAGGTTGCGCAATCTATGTTGTGCTATCTATGTTGTGCAACCCATGTGGTGCAATGTATGCTGTGCAGTCTATGTGGTGCAATTCTTGTTGCGGCGACGAGGCGGCGACTGGGCGGCGACGGCGGCCACTTATTCGCCAGAGCGGCAGACAGGCCCAGACGACGGGAGGCGACGAGGCGGCGACGGGGCGGCGACGGCAGCCACATAGCCGCCAGAGCGGCAGACAGGCCCAGACGACGGGCGGCGACGAGGTGGCGACGGGGCGGCGACGGCGGCCACATAACCCCCAGAGCTGCAGACAGGCCCAACTCGTTAGAGGGGAAGTGAGAAACCCTAAGTGTAAGCATCGCTCCAGGAAAACATGAAAGCATCGAAACTCGTACCTCTCCTCCTCCTCCTCCTCCTCCTCCTCCTCCTCCTCCTCCTCCTCCTCGTATTCATCCTCCTTCCCCCCTGCTCTTCGTTACCTGTCCTCGTCCCTCCTCCCTCCCGCATCGCTCCTTCCCCTTTCCCTCAACGTTCCCCCACGGCCCGCCTAATCCCAAAAGCCCTTCACCTACCCGTGAACCTCGCTGAAACCCGGAGGCCATCCAAGCCGCGCGCCTTTCCTCCTGCTCTTGGGATAAGACAAGGCCGTATGAACAGAAAAGCGCAGCATTCGGAGGTCCGCGCGGGCCCGCCCTGGACCAGAGAACAAAAGACACTACCCCACCTGCGGCCCCACGGGGCTTAGCGTTTACCAGCAAATCTGGCGTGGGCTTGTGCGTGGTATACGCTACGGCCCCCCATGGGCCGTGACGCAACATGGAGGGCCGTAGGTGGGGTGGTGTCGTTTGCTTTTCCCTTGCGCGCGAAGAACATCAGGGGTGGCACGGGATGCGCCGCCAGGGGCGGTCCAGCGCCGACCTAGGAAATCCGCGCGGACCTCCGAATGTTTTGCGTAGTGTTGTTGATCCTCGATTCTCGTAACTCCTGGCGGGCTGTTCGGCAGCGGGCGAGGAGGGGAAGCGAGAAGGAGAAGGTCTCCTCAGAAGGCGGCGGAACTTCTCAGAAGCCCTCGCGACTTCTGAGAGGCCATCTGCGTCTCCAGCGAAGGCTCCGAACACTTCTCCAGGAAGGCGCGTGGGACTCCCGAGCCTCAATGAAGAGGCCCGCTCCTTCCCGCTTCCCCACCAGGCTCGCCGCCGAGTGCTGTTGATCCCCGCTTCTCGTTTGCAGAGGAGGAGGGGGAGGAGGAGGAGGAGGAGGAGGAGGAGGAGGAGGAGGGAGGAAGGAGGAGGGACGTGGAGGATGGAGGAGGGAGGGAAGGGAGGAAGGAATAGAGGGGTAGAGGAGGAGGGAGGTGAGGAGGAGTAGGATGGGGGGGGGGGGGTAGGGAGGGGAGGAGGGGGAGGAGAGGGAGGAGGCGGAGGGGGGGACTGAGGGGTGTGGAACAGGGGGGGGGGGGAGGGGGGAGGATGGGAGAGAGGGGTGGGGGGGGCGGGGGGTGTGGGGTAGGGGGGGGAGGGGTGGGGGAAGAGGGGGGAAAGGGGGGGGGGATGAGGGGGGGGGGGGGGGTGAAGTCTCTTCTGCATCGCTGCGCCGGCTCCCGGACTGCGGAGGATGAGGAGGAGGAGGAGGAGGAGGAGGAGCAACAAAAATCCAGCGCACCGACGCTCCCTCTCGCGAGGGGTGCGCGTCGAGGCCGCTCGGCCCCCACAGGGGGGGGCCAGGGACCACGACTTCCCCAGCCTTGCGTGCTCGGAGCTGCCTGCGGACCCGCACCTCCGGCGTCGAGATTTATCTTGTCGCAACGTGCCCCCCCCCCCCCACTCGCCATCGCTCGGACGTCCATTCCGTGTTTTTTTTTTTCGGTTTCGTGCGTGGTTGTTTGGCCAAATGATCAAGGATGCTCCTCGATGGTCCTCGCCGAACGAAAAATACACACGTCCGAGCGATGCCGAGCCCAAAGGAGATCTGGACCTTCTCTTGAGCAGGGGCCGACCGTCCCGGCACTCTTGTACAGTCAACCAGTAGCGTAAGGATGCGCGGAGGATGCGCGGTCCTCGGACGCCCATGCCGAAGCTTTTCGAGCGGGGCGCGGCCAACGAGAGTGTCCAAGGATGGACCCAGGAGGCAAGGATGCAAGGGTACCCTTGAGAGGGATGCCTATCCTTACTATGCGGGTCAACTGTACGCCTACCAAGACATGTTCTTGGAACCCAGGAGTGTTCTAAGAACAAAAACAATGTTCTTAGAACATTCGCCCGACGTGTTCAAACAAGACGGTCTCGGCCAGACATGTTCTAAGGCAAACTCGTGCAGACCACGAAAGGTCCGTAGAACATTCTTTGGTGGGCACATAGGCGAGCCAGGACGCTTCGCCACTGCTTGAGTTTCCCAGGGTCCGCTTGTCCATCCCGAGTTTTTTCTTGACGGCCCCGAGGTTGGGCAATGGCCCCCACAACTGCAACAAAGCAAGGCAGCTGGGCAGGCCGAAGCGAGGAACGGAGACCCCCCTTTTTGGCCCTCCGAGCGCCTGCGTGGACGAGGAGCGCTGGAGAAACGGCCTTGGAAGGACAAAAGGAGAGGAGCACCGAACCCCTTCCGAACCCAGGCTGTTCCTCAAATTTCAGCGTCTTGGCTGTACGCCGTGACATCTGCACGGCGCGAGGATCGACTGCCCGCAGGAGCGACCACGGATAGGGGTGGCCTTTGGTGCTCGGCTCTTTGGGGGCCGCGGGGGGGCCAGACCCAGGCGCGCAAGACGCCGCAGCCGCCTCGCGCTCGGCGATCGGGGGGGGCCCCGATGAGCCCGCACCAAAGGCCACTCTGGCGACGGGCCTCTCTTTATCCCAAGAAAAACAAGAAAAAAAAAACGACAAACAGACAAAAAGTTAATAAAGAAAAATAAAATAAAATAAAGTAAAAAACAAAAAAAAAAAAAAAAAGAAAAAAAAAAGATAAAAAAAAAAAAAAAAAAAAAAAAAAAAAAGGAAAAAAAAAAACAACGAAAAAACAAACAAAAAAAGGTAAAAAGAAAACACAACACCACAAAACAAAAAAAATCGCACAAAATAAAAACCTCCCCTCCCCCCCATTCCCCCCCTCCGCCCCACCATCCCCCTACTTCCCCCCCACCCACAACGACCGCCGAAGCCCACCCCCCCCCCAACGCCGCCACCACCCTCCCGCCCCCAGGACCCTAACTTAACAGACATGGTCGTATCCAAATTTCGAGCCGGATCGATCGGTGAGGGCCCCGGTCTCGAAAGTGAGTGAAAAGGCCCGGCTCAAAATAATTGAGTCGCCTGGATCTCAAGGTGACGTGCAGTCGAGAGGAGGCCAGGGGGGGACCCCCCTTCCCTGGCACCTCCGCAGGCAAATGTGGCACCTGATGCAATTCTTCCCGTCCTGCGATCGCGCCGGCGGCCCACGCACAAGCCGGAGCATCATTCCGAGACAAGCGTGTCGCCAGCCAGAAAGCAGGTGTCACGCCCATTCCGCGCGGGCCGGGCTCGGTGTCACTGAGGTCCAGTTTACGTTGGGTGGGTAGTCCACGCTAGGTGCTGGGGTTGTAGTCGAGCGGAGGCCAGGGGGGACCTTCCTCCCCCGGCGCCTCCACGGGCAGATGTGGCACCTGATGCAGTTCTTCCCGTCCTGCGATCGCGCTTCGGCGGCCCGCGGGGGGGGGGGGGGCACCGTCGCCGCGCGCCGGCGTCTGGTCGATCTGCGCGCCACCGCCGTCGTGTGCAGAAGGGCTGCTGAGGCAAGGAGCGCCGCACGAGGAGCGAAACGTGCACAGGAACAGGGGCCATACCTGCTCTCTGGGCCCGAGGACCCAGACCCCAGACGTTATGATTTTTTCATGACCTCGACCCCCAGAGGTCTGAACCCCTTCCCCGGGACCGGTTGTTCATCCTGAGTCGTTTTTTGACGGTCCCGAGGCCCGGCGAGGGCCCCTAGAGGTCGAAAATTGGGAAAAACCTCCGTCTTGATTTTTTCAATACGTTGGATGTCTGAGGAGGCGCGCCGAACCCCCGAGGGGCACTGGCGAGCTGCTCGGGGCGGACGCCCCCGTCGCACTCGGAGCCCCTGCCTGGCGCCATAGCAGCGCCTATGGGTGCCCGCGGCGGGCCTCTCGAGGCACGGGCACGGCATGGCCCCTTGGGAGCCGCGGGCCCCTCTCGGCCACTCCCTCTCACCTCCTCCCCCTCCTCCTCTCCTCTCCTCCTCCTCTCCTCCTCCTCCTCCTCCACCTTCTCCTCCTCCTCCTCCTCCCTCCCTCCCTCCCTTCCTCCCTCTCCTCCTCCCCTCCCTCCCTCCTCCGTCGCGAGGGCAACGCTGCCGACACCGCGACCTAATGGCACGGAGTAGAGAACACCGGCGCCGCGAGGTGGGCACACCACGGGCTGCCTCTCCTCTTTCCCGCGGCCCTGACGGGGTCGTCGACGGGCTCCGGGGTCGTCGGAAGACGACCCCTTTGGACGCCCGAAATGGGCACGGAAACAATGGGCACAATGCCCAACAGCAAATGTTGTCCCGAACCAACAGCGGCCGCTGTTGGGCAGGCGGCCTTCTGTCTCAAATGGACACAGGCCGCGGCGGCGCGGACAGCGAGTCCTGTTCAAAACGAACAGGAACTGCTGTTGGGCATCGTGCCCATTCTTTCCGTGCCCATCTCGTTCGTGCAGAACCCCGGAGGAAGAGCTGGTCCTGGGGAAGGCCCCGGGCCTGCAGCAGGGCAGCCAGCAATGACATCACACAAACATCAAAAAAACTCGGAGGTGCGCGCGGACTTCTCGGATCGGCGTGGGACCCCCCTCCTGGGCGCGCGGAGCTGCGCTGAATGTCGTTGAATGTTTTTTGATACCGTCCGTCCGCCAGCGGGATTTTCCGGGACACTGTGGAAACATGAAGCATCAAATATCTTATAAACATTCACGAGACATTCAAAACACATCTGAGATGTATTCGTACTGCTTTGAGACATGTCCCCATTAATCCCTCCAGCGCAGGTGGACATCCCAAATACGCTCAGAACACATGTACATAGAACGCATCGGGGAACGATTGGGCGACATGCCTCCTCTCCACTGACCCGCTTCCACAGGCCTAGACGCCGCATGACACGTCCTGGAGCCAGGCGGACACATTGCGCAACCGCAGCTTGAGAGCTCTTTGGTATCCTCGTGGCGGCAGCGCGCGTCTCTGTGAGCGCCGAACAATGCCGCGGGCCCCTCGATGACCGCAGCGCCGTTGCCGCGGGCTCCGCGTGATCTCTGCGAGGGCGCCCGACGCAACAGCGAAGAATCTCCGGTGTGGGTTCCGCGACGGAGCGCAACGGGAATTGAGTACAGTGGAGTGAAGGGGCCCCAGGACACACAAATAAATACACGCAAATAAAAAGATGCCCCATATTTTCCATTTTTTTTGGTTTTTGTCTCCCCCCCCCACTTCCAATATTTTCCCATATTTTCTGGGGAATCGACGATGACTTGTGTTTGTGTTTTTTTCCCTCCTGATGGAGGCCAGTCCACAAGAACCTTCCACAAGAAACCCAACCCTGAGACCTCGGGATGTCCATCGATTTCTGGCGCGGGAAAACCACGCTTTCCATCGCAGAACCACCGGAACCCAAGAAACCCAAGGCAAGCCGGAGGCAAGAATGGTGTTTCTTGGTATGGGTCTCCACTGTAGAACTTGGGGGGGGCTTCTGGAAACATGGCAGAAAAATGCGAAAAGCGGACTGATGCCAGCAATCGAGACCAATGTACTTGCGCTCGGGGGAATCGGACGGAAACCGCGGACCCTACCCCCTAAACCGCTCCAGAGTTCGCTAGTTATGAAGGGGCCCTGGGTTACACAAAACAAATAAACACAAATCCCAGGATTCACCATATTTTCCCATATCGGCTTGCTCTTCGTCTACCATCCCGCTTCCCGTAGTTTCCCATATTTTCCTGGGAGTCGACGATTCACTGCGTCTGTGTGTGGTTTTCCCCCTCCTGAAATTATTGAGGTGGTCCCGGGCGACAACCGCTTTACTCGCCGTGCCCCGGGCTCGCTTCGTGCTGCAGTCGTGGATGCCAAGTGTCAGGGCGGGGGGGGGGGGCTCCCTGCCCCGCTCGGGCGACTGCAGCTCCCCGCCCGCCAGGCTCGCGCAGTCGCAGAATCCGAACGGGAGCCTTGCTCGACGGCACATCACACGTTTTTGCTGTGGTTGTGGCTCTACAAGTTGCCATTACAAAAACAAAGGGGAGCATCACGCGTCGGGGATCTCCTGACCCGGGTCAATCCAGGACACGGGTCAGCAGGAAACGAAAAAAACTGCAATGCAAGACAAAAAAACTGCAACGCAGGTCTTCGCAAACCCGGGTCAACCAATATGCGCGGCCGCCTCGCGGCCACGAGCGGCTCGCTAACCCGGGTCAGCCAGAGGGGGTCTTCGCAGGATCCTGCAGGATCCAGTGTCCTGGCTGACCCCCGTTTGCATTGACCCCCGTCTCAAGGCTCCCGAACACGCTTTTTTGTATGGCAGCCGGTAGCTGTAGAAAAACGTGTGATGCTCCATCATGGCAATCGGTAGCCACCAAAACACGTGTGATATTCCAGCATCGCCGCATGGTAACACAACTCACATACATCGGAAGCTGAGCTCTCGCCTGTCTACAGGGGCGGTGTTTCGCCTCGGACGGGTTTCTGACGGCCCAGGGGTCCGAAACGGGCGGGTCTCCAGAAACCGAAATTGTTGAAAAACTGCCGCGACGCGGTCTCCTCCTTCCTCCCTCCTCTTCCTCTTCCTCCTCCTCCTCCTCCTCCTCCTCCTCCTCCTTCCTCTTCTCCCTCCGACCCCTCCCCCCCTGGACCTGTCCTGGACCTCATTATGACTTGAATTTCAGGGCGTGCCCTACCATGGCGACGACGGGCTTGTACGTGCCGCACACACAAATGCGATAATATTATTCCTCCTCCCATTTTCCCCTCCTCATGAATGATGGCCAAGAGAGCGGGCATGCTGAAGCTTAGCTGCCCTGCTGCCGACACATGCGGCGGGCAAATAATCATCAAGATGATAAGAAGACCACGTGATGCGATGCGATGCGGCCCGCACTCCAGCACCGAAGGGCGGTCCGCTAAAAGGGCAAACGTATGGGAAACCAGTAACAAAGGAAATCGTGATACGACAACGAAAAAGGCCAGACCGTCCTTGCAGCCGCGGGCCTTCCAGAAGTACTTGCACGGCTCCTCGTCCCGCGCCGTCCTCCTCCTCCTACTCCTCCTCCTCCTTCTCCTCCTCCTCCTCATCCCCTTCGTGATGAGCCTCCGTCTCCACACGCCACGTGCCTCCTCATCCCTTCTCTACGGGTACGAGCGGCCATGATGTCCACGATCGCAACATGCCTAGACGAACTGGTCAGACAAGAACGGGAAGTGCCGTTGTTGTCCACTGGGCCCGTAGGTGGGACAATACATTTCATAATGACGACGATAAGGCGGCGGATGTCGGGGATGACAGCGCGGACTCTCTCTCTCTCTCTCTTTCTCTACATGTGAACGTCGTAATGAGAAGTTCGAGTTCTGGGGTCGGGTCTGCGAAACCTGGGGGACTTCTATCAAACAGATGCGGGTCCAGAAACCGTAAAACCGCCCTGCCGAACCATGCCGGCACGAAGGCACAGAAAAGGGGATCCTGAACACCAGGGGCTATCCCAAGTCACCAACCCTGCATCCTGAATCGCTGTCCAACGGCTCCACGGCCCGAGGAGGGCCCTGTGAACCCGACAATTACAGAGGGCCGCAAGCTCCCAGAGTCCGCCAGGACGATCCCAAGAGGCCCCCGAAGAGGCCTCTCCACCCTTGACCCACGACCCGAGGCCTAGGCATTGGTTCTGTGTTGAACTCATGCGCGTGCGAACGTATGTACTCATGCACCATGCATGTATGAGTCGACATGCGCGGGGGGATCTACGAAACAAATGCGCAGCTCATGGCTGGTTTCCCTTGGGGCCGCTGCCGTCGCGGCAACTCTTGACGCGCGGGGTGGTGGTGGTCTCGGCACCCAAGCCCCGAGGCGCGGAGCGCCCCCGGGGGCGCCGCAGGAGGGCGCCGCTTGTTGCTCTCGCCGACCCTCGGAGACTGCCCTCGGCCACAAGCAAGAGCAACCTCAGGCAAGCTGGGTAGTCGAAGCCAATCTGGCGCCAATCTGGCAGGCCCAATCTGGCAAACGGGGGCAATCTGGAGAGGGAGCCAACGCGAATCCAGTCTGGCGAATAACCCAAATCCTCCAATATGGCCAGGCCAGATTGGCCCTTGGGGCCCAATCCAGTCTGACAGTCTGGCCTTCGACTACCCAGGCAAGAGTAATCTGTGCTGCGCAGCTTACCAGTCGTTGCGTGCGATGCGGCAGTGGCAGACTTGGTCGCCAAACTTCGACCGTCGGTCCTGCTTCCCCCTCCCTTCGCCTCCCTCTCTTCCCTCGCCCCGGATGGCTGAGTATGCTATCTCGGGAGCTCCGCCCCCGAACATGCCGTCCCTTTTCAAGAAAGAAGGGGAGGAGAGAGGGGAGGGGAAGGCTGGGAAGAGGAGGAGGAGGGAGCCGAGAGGAAGGGGGAAGCAGAGCCGTTTTCCCCGCTCCCCCGAAACCCGCATCTCGCCAAGATAGACGATGGGGACCCCGGGGCCTTTCCCCCGGACCAGCTCTTCATCCCGATACGTTTCCGCGGCAGCCCTGGGGCTCGGGGAAAGCCCCAGGGATGTCGAAGACATAGAGACATCTCGGGATCCCTTTCCCTGAGCACCGTGATGCTCCGGCACATTGCAGCAACATCGTGGGTGACTCACACGCCCAGGGTTGAAGGCCCGATGGAGATATCCCAAGTAAAGGCAACTCCAAGGTGGGAAACACAGAAATCATCTAAGGGGGGGAAATACAAAGAACATTCCAAGAGCATTCCGAAGGGGGGAACAACTGCAAACCAGGATACTATTCCACGCGCGAAGAACAGAAGGGCACCCGAAAGCTACGGCGGTTCGTAGCTCGCGTGCCAGCTGCAGTACAGCGAGGCCTGAGCAGCATGAACGGATGGAGGTCCCGAGGGAAGCCAGTCCAAGTGTGCCTGGCCACCTATCAACTACTCGAGACGACCCACCCACGAAATACCAGCGACCACCAACGCTAGCAAGAGCAAACACAACACCACAAAACAATCAAAACGATCAGATAACCAACAGACACAACAAAGCAAACAAAAACAAGAAGCATAAAAACAACAAAAACAAACAAAGTGCACAGCAAAAAACAAACAATTAACAAACAAAAACACACACCACAAAACCAAACAACCAAAAAAAATAATCAAAACAAAAACAACACAAAACAGACACATGCAATGGCACAAAAAAATAACACAAAAAAGGCCCAACGCTAGCAGCTGCTAACTACGATCCGACACATAATGACCTCGCAAGTCGGAACCTCCGACGAGATGGCCACCAAGTGCAAGTGAACCCGCGTGGATATACATCTCTATATATATATATATATATATATATATATATATACATGTACATCGAATGTGTCGAACATGTCATATATGAGATGTGCATTTGCGTACTTATACAAATGTATACATATACACATGAGCCAGCGTTGTGAAAGCTATGCAGTGTAAGCTACGTGGAGAAAGCTGGCTGGTGCAAACTATGTGGTGTGAGCTATGGAGGTAAACCATTTGTTGTGCAAGCTATGCGGCACTATGTGGTGCAAGCTATGTGGTGTAACCTGTGCGGTGTGAGCTGGAGGTTGAATCCATGGGTGTAAGGTTTGCGGTGCAAGGTATGAGGCGGAAGCCATGCGGTGTAAGATAGGTGGGGTGCTCACCAGGCGGCAACGTGGCCCAACCCAGGTCGAACCCAGGTCGATCCTCAAGAGGCGTCCACGAGGCGGCGACGTGGCGCCATTAAGGCGGCATGGGCGGCAACCTACCGCCAGCTGCTTGACAAAGAGACATAAGAGCCCATAAGAGCCCAGATGTACACATACGATATATTTACGTAGGGACGACCACCGTTCGGGCGATAAGGAGTTTGGGGGAGAGGAAAGGCAAACCCACTGACAACAACTGCGATGTCTGTGATGGCGATGAGATGGCGATAATATTGCACCAAGATGCTCGTGGTGAACATGAAGCATGGTGATTGTAGTGAAGGCTGCACAGCCACGATGGAGCTCACAGCACCCGACAACCAAAGGACCGCTGGCTGAAAACAAAAATGGCGTTAAACAGACAAAACGCGACTACAACCAATGGGGCTCCGAACACCAAACGGGCGCTAAAAATAAAAAGGGCGCTAAAAAACAAAGGTGCACCGAAAACCGAAGGGGCGCCAAAAAATCAACCAGCGCCGAAAACCAAGGGGGCGCCGAAAACCAACGATGCGCCGAAAACCAAAGGGGCGCCGAAAACCAAAGGGGCGCCGAAAACCACAAGGGCGCCGAAAACCGAAAGGGCGCCGAAAACCAAATGGGCGCCGGAAACCGCAAGGTCGCCGAAAACCAAAAAGGGGCACCGAAGATCAATGGTGCGCCGAAAACGAAAAGGGCGCCGAGAACGAAAGGGGCGCCGATAGCCAAAGGAGCGCCGACACCCAACGGCGCGCCGTGGACCAACGAGGCGCCGACGGCCGAGAGGGCGCCGACAACCCAAAAGGGCGCCGGAAACAAGAAGGGCGCCGAACAACAACGATGCGCCAAAAACCAAAAGGGTGCACAGAAAACCAAAGGAGCGCCGAAAACAAAAGGTCCGCCGAAAACCGTGGGGGCGCCGAAGACCAACAAGGCGCCGAAAACCAAGGGGGCGCCAACAACCAAAGGGGCGCCGAAAACCAGAGGGGCGCCGAGGGGCGCCGAAAACCAAAGGGCGCCGAACACCAAGGGGGCGCCGAAAACAAAAGGGGAAAGGAGACTTCGAAGCACACACCCCTTTCAGCCAGACCCCTCCAGCTGGAAATGCCAACAAAAGGAAGTGAGGGGGGGGAGGGCAGCCTCGGAAGCCACCCACTCCTTTGGAAAAGAGAGCCCGGGCTTACCCCGGGCCCCGAAACGGGGGGGAGGGGGGCGGTAGCTTCCAAGCCCCGCCTTTCGCCAGGAACCCCCCAGCTACAAAATCCAAACAAAAGGGGGGACGGGAGGGTAGCTTCGGAAGCCGCCCTCCCCCTCTAGCCCAGAGCCCGGGCTTACCCACAGCCCCGAAAAGGGGGGGAGCGAGGGGAGGGTTACTTCCAAGCACCCCCAGCTACAAAACCTTTACAACAGGGGGGGAAGGGGGGAGCTTCGGATCCCCCGCATCCCAGGGATGTGGAGGGGGCAGCTTGGAGCTGGGCCCCCTTTTCTTATTCCCGGCGATGCGGGGGCGCTCTTTCCAATCTATCTTGCGCAACCTTTGAGTAATACATGCGGCGCAATCAATGCGGAGCAATGCAGGTTCGATGCAATCTATGTGGTGCAACCTATGTGGTGCGATCTATGTTGTGCCATTTACGTGGTGCTGATGTCGTGCGATCTAGGTTGTGCACAACGCATGTGTTGCAATATCTGTTGGACAATCTAGGTGGAGCGCTCTCAGTGGTGCAATATATGTCATGCAATCGATGTGGTGCAGTCTAGATGCTGCAATACATGTGGTGCGACTTATGCTGTGCAACCTAATTATGTGTTGCGATTTATGTTGCGCAATGTATGTGGTGCAATTCGCGTGGTGCACTGTGTGCGGTACAATATGTGCCGTGTATTACAGATATGCATACAGATACAGACACATGTACAGACACATATGGATATATCTATATCTATATCTGTATTACACACACATATTTATGTATGTATATATATATGTATATATGAAAGGCGGCGACGGGGCGGCGACGGCGACGACAGGGCGGCGACGGCGAGCACAAAGCCGCCGGACCGCCACCCAGGCCCAGACGATGGGCGGCGAATGAGGCGGCGACGGGGCGGCGACGGTGAGCACAGAGCCGCCAGACCGCCACCCAGGCTCAGACGACGTGCGGTGACGAGGTGGCGACGGGGCGGCGACGGTGAGCACAGAGCCGCCAGACCGCCACCCAGGCCCAGACGACGGGCGGCGACGAGGCGGCGACGGGGCGGCGACGACGAGCACTGAGCCGCCATACCGCCACCCAGGCTCAGACGACGTGCGGTGACGAGGCGGCGACGGGGCGGCGACGGCGAGCACAGAGCCGACAGATCGCCTCACAGGCCCAGAGGACGGGCGGCGACGAGGTGGCGACAGGGACGAGCTCTGGGCCGCCAGACCGCCACCCAGGCATAGGTCCTTAGACCAGAAGTAGGAACCCCAAGTGCAAAAACTGTTTGGGGAGATGACAAGGCACGCCCCAACCGTCGACAACAAACATACAGTTGTACATGTGCACGAACGTACAGCATGGATTGATGAAAAGCTGGGACAACAATGACAAGCACACCCTCAGAAGGCCAGGGAGGGATGCCTGACCACTGGCCCGGCCCTCTTGCTTCCCCCTCCTCCTCCTCCTCCTCCTGTTCCTCCTACCCCGCCGTCCCTCATTCCTCCAGCCCCCATCTTGGTCCATCCATTGCCTTCTCTTATGTAATCGCTTCGCTCATTTCGCCGGCCCATATTTAGGACGGGAAAAATTTATTGACACACCGTGTTATTGATACGTTCCGGAGATTCCGGGATTTCTAACAGCCTTCGCGCGGCGTCGAATATTGTCTACTCTGGCTGGCGCCGCTGGTCAGTCACCCATTCGCAATCGAGTGGTCGCCCGTAAGGGGCTATTTGGCAGTTGCTGACCCCCCTTCTCGTTGCCGAGCGCGGGGGGGACGGTGGCGCACCGTCGTATTGCCCGCCGCCGCGCGCCGCGCGCCTCGGCGGATTTCCAAAGACCTGGCAAGGCAAAACATCCTCGACCCTGGACATTTCTCCGGGGGTAAAGTTGAACAAATCTGGGGGCATTTTCGAACATGTCCGCCCTACTTTTTGAAACGTACCAGATACGTTTTTGAAAATTTCCGGGATCGATTTTGAAAAATTCCGGAATCCATTTTTAAAAATTCCGGATTTCAGAAGTCTTCAAATGTCCTGCGCGGCGGGCGCATTCCACCCCTCAAAACTCTTTTTTGAAAATTTTCGGGCTCCTTCTTGAAAAATTCCGAAACCGCTTGCGCGGGAAAAAGCGGAAGCGTTTTCTGACGCATTCTACAATCCAGAAATCATGTCCGGGCGGTCCGACGGGCGCGGCCGGCTGGTTCACGCGCCGCGCCGCGCGCGATTGGGCGCAGCGCGCGCCGCGCGTTGCGCCCGCGAACAGCACTCGAAGGGGCTACCTCGAAAACAGCGCCACGGCAACTGCGACTCGCGGACTCCCCAAGAGTAACACAGCATGCAGCTTGGAATCTTCGAGGGCGCTCCGATGCGCGAAAAACGCACTGCGAACAACACGCAAAGAACTTGCGCGACGGAATGCGCTCGACCATTCGTCCCTTTAGCCAGCGCGGAAGAACAGGAAAACCTGGAAATCTGGAAAACTATCAATATCAATACTTCATGCTCCTCTGAATATTGCCTCGCCGCTGTCGTTTGGCGGGGTGTTGTTGTCAATGCAGTGCGGTTGGGCGGCTGCCATTATTCGGAGGCGGTGGGTGGCGGGTCAGAGGCCTCACGGATGTTGGTTGGGCTCTCGTGGTTGGCCTCTCAGGGAGGGGCCTTTCGGAGGCAGTTTCGAGGCCACTTGGGGGCCGTGTTGAGGCCTCTTGGGGCCTCTTGGTGGCCTCTTGGGGCTTCTTGGGGTGCCTCTTGGGGGCCCCTTGGGGCCTCTTGGGGGCTTCTTGGGGCCTCTTGGGGCTGAAGGCTGGACTTTCCGATTCCTGGTCCCCTTCTTGGGCCCTTCTTGATGCCGTTTTGAGGCTCTCTTGGGCGCCTCTTGGGCTGTCTTGGGGCCATCTTGGGCCGTCTTGAGCCCCTCTTGGAGGCTTCGTTGGCCGTCTTGGGGCCGTCTTGGAGCGCCGGTAAGCCGAAAAGGCGAGACTGCCAAAAACCGTCAGCAACTGAAGGGAAAGCACTAAGTTCTGCCTCCGTGCGCCCTCCTGGGAGGTCTCTTGGAAGCCTCTTGGGGCGTCTTGAAGGCGCTTTGGGCTGATGGAGGCAATCTTTGGCGTCTTGGATCGCTCTTGGACCGTCTCGGACCATGTTGAGCTCTCTTGGAGGCCACTTGAAGCGCTCCTGGAGAGCTTTTGGGAGCCTGCTGTGACCTGGCCGGGACCTGGCCAGGACCTGCCCGAGACCTGCCCGGGATCTTGCCAGGACCTTGCCAGGACTTGCGGGATACTTTTCGTCCGGGGACCCCCAGGGGCGGCCCCGCGCGCGCGAACTAGAAATATTGCGAACCAGACCGTTGGGCCTGGCGAATTTCTGCTTCTTCGTTATTCTTTTCCCATCCTCCCTCCTCCCACTTCCACGCATCCTCGCCCATCCTTTCCCCTGCCCTCTGTCTCCGACGCCTGCTTCCCCCCTCGTCCCCCCTGCCTGCGGCTTCGGACTAATAGACGATTACGCGGCGCTCTTGGGGCTCGCTTGGGGCGCTCTCGTGCCTCTTTTGGTCTCTCTGTGGGGCTGTCTGGGGGGCTCCTGGGGCCATCTTCGGAGTCATTTTTGGGGGCCACGGTGACAGCTGAGACTCATGTGGGCCGTCTTGGAAATCTTACTTGAGACAACTTGGAGAACCATCGTTATCATGTAAAGTTCAACACATCTGATAAGAAGGGTCTCCATCGACGGCTTGGAGAAAAAGGCCAGGGAGGAGGACGACACAGAGCTGTAAAACATTTTTCCAAGCAGACCAGGCAACTGATCAGTCCAGATATCTCCCTCGAGTGCAGGCCGAGACAGCGAAATCCAGAGCACGCACTCCCAAGACAACAAAGCCGCACCACACGGGGTTCTTTTGGAATCCCTTTTCGTGGTCTCGTCGGGGCCTCGTGGGGCGCCTCGTGCAGGCTTCTCGGGACTCTTCTAGAGGCATCCTAGATGGGGTCCGAGTGGATGGGGTCGAAGGATCGCGCCGCATCGCTGATGCATCGCCGATGTGTCGGCGATGCATCGGCGATGCATCGGCGACGTCGCCGATGCATCGACGACGTCGGCGTGGCGAAACACGGGCTCCACATCGAGCCGCATCGTCGATACATCGGCGATGCGGCGCGATCCTCCGACCCCATCGACTCGGACCCCATCTGGGAGGCCTAGATCTTCGGGCCTCGTCGGCGTTTGCCGGTCCGTCTCGGGGCTCTCCCGCCCTGCCGGGCGCCGTCGGGGGCCGTCCTGGGGCGCCCCCGGGGTGCCTCAGGGCTGCCTCCTCAGAAGGCTCGGGGGGCCTCGGGCCGCGGGGCCTGTGGCGACGCCTGTGAAGGCCTTCTCCGAAGGCCCAGGGGACCTCTCAGAAGGCCAGAGGGCTTCGGAGAAGCCCCATCGCATTCGGAGGAGGGGGAGGAGGAGGAAGAGGAGGAGGAGGAGGAGGACTCTCCAACTCTCCATTTCCACCTCCTCCTACGGCAGCACCTGGGCCATCCTGGAGGCCTCTTGGGGCCCTCTTCGGGGCTGTCTCGGGGAGCTCTTGGGGCCGTCCGGGGGCTCTCTCGAGCTCTTCTTGGGGCTCTTCCTGGGGCTCTCGTGGTCTCGGTGACCCAACGGCGGCGACAGGGCGAGAGGGGAGAACACTGGATTTCCCGCTGGCTGTCGTAAAATGTTGGGCTCTCGAGGGCCACCCTGGCAAGACTAGTCGATCCTTGGAGCCGCCTTGGGGCGGTCATGGGCCCCCTTGGAGGCGTCTTGACAACTATCCTGAGCCATCTCGGGTCCTCGGGTGCAACCGTGGAGGCCATCTTGTACCCATCTTGGGCCATCTGGAGGCCTTCGTGACCTGTTTGTTGCTTTTCGGGGGCCTCTTAGACGGGAAACTGGGGGCTGTAAAGAATGCGCTGGGATGGTTGCGAGGACGCGGGCCTGGGAGAGGGGTCTCTCTCTCTCTCTCTCTCTCTCTCTCTCTCTATATATATATACATGCATATATGTACACGCGCACATACCTACACACATGCAGACACCAATGTGTGCACATCTGTGTTCAAGTGCGTACAACGAATGAGAGAGAGAGAGAGAGAGGGAGAACGAGCAACACAGCAACGAGAAAGCGAGAGGGAACGAGAGAGAGAGAGGGAGAGCAAAAGAGAGAGAGAGAGAGAGAGGAGAGAGAGAGAGAGAGAGAGAGAGAAAGAGAGAGCGAGAGAGGGAGAGGGAGAGAGAGGAGGGAGGCATAAAGAGCGAGTGAGAGAGAGAGAGAGAGACGACATATGACCCACACGAGGAACAGAAACGGGACCCGCTCCCCTCGGGACCCCTTGTCCGTCATCCGGCCCGAGCCTGGCCTGCCAGAGCCCGGCTGGCCGCAGGCCCAAGGCTCGGGCAGAGGGAGGCCGCCGCGCAGGCGGGCGGGGCGGCGGCGGCGGGTCCCCGCAGGACCCCGGGTGGCCGACGGAGCCTCGGCCCGCCGGGGCGCGCGCAGGGAGCGGGGGAGGGGGGAGGGGAAGGAGGAACGAGGAGGAGGAACGAGGAGGAGGAGGAGGAGGAGGAGGAGGAGGAGGAGGAGGTGGAGGAAAGAGGGGGAACAAGGAGGAAAGAGGATGATAGAGGAGGAGGAGGAGGAGGAGGAAGAAGGAAGGAGGAAGCGAGGAATCAGGAGGACGAGAGGAGGAGGGAGGATCGAGAGCCCCCCCAGACCCCACCCCCCTCCCAATCGGGGGGAAGGTAAGGAGGGGAGGGGGGAGGGGGGCGGATGGGAAAGAGGACGGGGGGTAGGTGGCATGGAGTGGATGGCGCGCTATGGGTAGTGCAGCCCCGCTTGTCCGACGGATGAGGTGAGGGGCCCTGGCCTTCCAAGGGGGCAAACAATCAGCAGGACCTTCGTATTCGAACTTAAGGTCTGGCCTTCCGAGAGGGCAAAAAAAACAGCGGGACCTTTGCAGGCGAAATTGCAATGGGGGTTCAAACCAGTCCTGATCGGTCTTTACCAATGGAGGGCAGTTCTCCAACACTCTAGAACATCTTTGGGGAGGGGGGCATGCAGGGGACCGTGGGGAACAGGGGAGAGGCGGGGGGAGGTGGAGGGTTCATGTGGACAGAGAAAGGGAGGAATTAGAAGATACAGGGGGGGCGGAACGGGGAGGAAGGCACGGGGGGGCTCTACAAGGCGGGAGTAAAGGAGGGATGAGAAGGGAAGTGAGGATGGCAACGGATCATAATGATTGGGAGATGGCAAAGAGGGGTGGGGAGAGGAGGGAAACGGAGGCGACGAAGCAGCAGAAGGGAAGAGAGTGAGATGGGATACGCACGCGAGGCTGACGAGGAGAAGGGGAACGGGTGAGGGAAAGGGAGAGGGGGAGCTAGACGACGTCCAGGATGCGGGGCAGGAGCGGTGTGCACGTGAGCCTCCTGTCCTGTACATGAGATTCCCAGGCCCTGTTCCTCTATCTACAGTAACTTCTCCCTGTCACACCCCGAAGCCAATCGGAAAGGCGGGCTGGGCGTTTCGCCAAAGACTTCCTCGCCTTTTGTTTATCCTGAAGCTTAAACATGAACAACCATGTCACACATGGAAGGCGAACCTCTTCCAACATGCGAACCTCGCCAAAGCGCCGCGCGCACTCATGTTAAACATTTGCAAGCGCTTCGTGGATCGAGGGCGGGCGGTTTTCAACATGTGGCTCTTGCATTAGCGCCGCGCGCACTCGTCTTAAGAATTTGCAAGAGCTTCACGGACTGAGGGCGGGCGGTTTTCAAAATGTGCCTCTCGCCTGAGCGCCGCGCACACTCTCGTGGTAAAAAATTGAATGAGCTTCGCAGATCGAGAGCGGTTCCTTTTCAAAATGTAGCTCTCGCGTTGGCGCTGCGCACGTGCGTTTTACGAACTTGGCAAAATTTCGAGGACTTCCATGGTTAACGCAGCAAGAACTGTGTACTGGAACGATTCAGGATTGTCAGGGCGCAGCAATCACGTTCACTCGCTGCGTTGAGGTCAGAATAACGTTGTTCTGGCACGAGTCGGAATCGTTCAGACGCAGCAGTCAAGGTGATCCGTGGCGTGGAGCTTCCGAGAATGATGCTTGGGCGCGCTTGAGGATCTTCCAACGGTTGTCTCCCAACGGGGCGCCTCTCTGAGTGGAAATGAACCCTTGTCGGGAGTTTTGAAGAGGGAGTTTGGAGGCACGGTTGATTCCAGTATCGTTGATGAGCCTTGGGTTTACACTGGTCCTCCTCCTCCTCCTCCTCCTCCACCTTATCCTCCACCTTATCCTCCTCCTGCTCCTCCTCCTCCTCCTCCTCCTCCTCCTCCTCCTCCTCCTCCTCCTCCTCCTCCTCCTCCTCCTCCTCCCCCTCCCCCCCCCTTTCGCCGACAAGTCGACACGAAGGGGGAGGAGAACAGGGGGAGAACGGCGGAGGACGAGGAGTTGGAAGAATCACTTCTCCTACTCCTCCTCGTCCGCCTCACGCTCCGCGTCACGCTCCCGTACTTTCTCCTCCTCGTCCTACTCCTCCGCGTCGTCGCCCCGCCCGTTTCTCCTCCGCCTGTTGCTACTGCTGCTCCGCCTTTTCTTCAACCCCTTCTCCTCCTTCTACCTCCTCATCCTTTCCGTCCTTCCATGTCCTCCCTCTTTCCTCTCCTCGTCTCACTCCTTCCTTCCTTTCCTCCTCCTCCTGCTCCTCCTCTTCCTCTTCCTCTTCCTCATCCTCCCCCCTCCTTCTTCGGAGTTGTGGGTCGGTGGGTTCGTTGGCCCTGTACTTGATTCGTCGATTAGGCCGAACTCCAGCCGAAATGTGGCACGTCTTCGTCCGCGCGGTCTGATAGTACACACTTTACTGCACGTGTAGCCGATAGAGACAAATTAGACCATGAAGGACATGCCTTCATTCATTGCCCTCCTACTTCCCACTGTTCTTCCCCCATTCCCCCCCGCACGTACCCACTACCCTTCTGACATCCACTCCCCCCCTCTAATTGCCTCTCCTCCCTCCCCCCATATCCTTGCCCCCCCCCTCTCCCCCCCCTCTCCCCTCCTCCTCCTCCTCTCCTCCTCTCTCCTCCTCCTCCTCCTCCTCCTTCTCCTCCTCCTCCTCCTCCTCCTTCTCCATCAGACGGCGGGTTTCCCCGAAGGCCTCGCGCCCTCGGGGAAGCTTTCTGCGTCTTCGGGGAGAGATATCCGGAAACTTCTCGAAGGGCCGGGGCACTCCCGAACCTCATGAGAAGGCCCGCCCCTTCTCGCCCCCCCCCTCGCTCGCCGCCGATCTTGGGGGGGCTCGCATAAAGACGACCCAAGAGGCCTCCAAGACGCCCAAGATGGCCTCTAAGACGGCCCTGGAGCACCCCAAGAGGGCCCCAAGTCGACCCAGAAAGGCTTCCCAAACGGCTTCCAAGACGGCCCAAGAGGCCTCCAAGAGGGCCTCCAGGAAGGCCAGAAAAGGCCAAAAATATGGAGCTTTGGAACTTCCATGTGCTTTTGAAGGATTTGTTCATGTGCTTCTTTTCGGCCTCCCGACAGCCCGATACGTCCCAGGAGCCCCCAAAGATCGCCCAAAGATCGCCCACGATGCCTCCAAGATGGCCCCAGAACGGCCCGCGAGGCCCCCAAGACGGCCCCGAGAGGCCCCCAAGCCGGCCCAAGAGGCTTTCTAGACGCCCAAGATGGCCTCCAAGACGGCCCTGGAGTATTCCAAGGAGGGCCCCAAGTCGGCTCAGAGAGGCCGCCCAAACGGCTTCCGACGGCGTCGGACGGGCCAGGGGCCCGCCAAGACGGCCGAAGATGGCACTAAGATGGCCCCCGAGACGCCTGGCAACCGTCGCTGCCGCTGCCTTCGTCGCTGTGGCCGTCCTCGCCGCCGTCGCCGTCGCCGCCGCCGCCGGCGGCCGCCGGCGATGCTGCGAGGACGGCGGCGGCGGCGACCTCCTCTTCCCCATGGTTTACGTTGTCTTACTCGGCGTGTCGACATTGGGCGGAAGGGGGGTGGGTGGGGGGTCTGGCTCTGGACCTCTGCCTCACGCGACTGTTTGCAACAGTGCGTCCTGTGGAGAAGAAGATGCGGGCAATAATTATATCCATATCCAGTGCGTCTTGGACTTTCTTGGAAGGGGCGCCGCAAGGCCGAGGCGCACTGGATACGGATGAAAATTGAGCCTTGTGGAGGCAGATTATAATACATACCCAGTGCGCCTCATGCTTCTTGGGACGAGAGTCCGAAACTCCAAGACGCACTGGATGTGGATAACGACTTTGCCCGCAGAAGACTCCAACTGCTTGAAACTGGCACCCCAAAAGCAGCCAAGATCTGCTCCACGGGGGCGGCGAGGCGGTGCGCGGGCCCGCGCTGCTAGGCAAGACAGCGGAGAAGATCGAGAACGATCACACGGAGGCCTCCGGAGGTGCCTGGCGGTGCCTGGAGCTCTCGGGTGCTCGAAGGCCCCCGTGGGCCTCTGGAGAGGCGGAGCACCGGGCGCTCAGAGGCTCGACCGTGGACCCTCGGCCACGGCGGCGGTGACGGCGACGGAGCGGCGGCGACGCCGACGGGGCGCTCCTCCGGGGGAGCGGAGGTGATGGCGGCGAGGGCGCGGCGACGGCGCGGCGACAGCCCCAGCCATCCGCCGTCTTGATTTTCGCAGGACGGGCCCGGGCCCCCCAGAGGTCCCGATTCCTCTCCCCAGGGGGGCGGCTTTCCACCCCATTGTATTCTTCGAGCGGCCACGGAGTCAGAAGGAGGCCTTTGGAAGCCACATACACGGCGAGAAACCTCCGCCTTGACTGTTCCGAGGCGATGTGCGTCTGGGGTGGCGACGGCGAAGACGGCGGCGGCGGCGGCGGCGCTTGTTGGCGACGTTGCGTCAGATCTCAAGGGGACCTTACCTATCCGATCACGCGGCTGTCCGCATCGAATGAACGTCGATTCCACTGCGAACCCGCGTCGAACCCGCGTCGAACCCGTAAGGAATCCACCTGTCAGAGCCGCGTCGAGTCTGCTTCGAAGCAACATCGGATGCAACCACCAAACAAAAACACACTCGAGGGGGGCACGATCGGGGGGGACGGGCTCGGGGGGAAACCGTCGCCCTGGACTGGCCATCGCTCGGACGTCCATTCCCTGTGTTTTTTCCGGTTTCGTGCGTGGTTTTTTCGCCAAATGATCAAGGATGCTCCTCGATGGTCCTCGCCGAAGGAAAAATGCACACGTCCGAACGATGCCAAGTGGAAGCTCCGACAAGTCGTTGCCCTCCCCCCCGAACGTTGCCCCTGCAGAATACATTCACACGCACACAAATGACAGGATTCCCCATATTCTCTCGCATTTTCTGGGTTTTCGTCTTCCCCCCCACTTCCCATAGTTTCCCGAATTTTCTTGGGAGTCGACGATTCATTGTGTCTGTGTGTTTCTTCCCCTCCTGACAAGAGCCTCCCCCCCGAACGTTGCCCCTGAACAAGATATACGGGACAGACACGCGAACAAAAACCATGACATAAACATACAAACGCGGAGGCCCGCGTGGATTTCTCGCAGCGGCGCTGGAGGCGCCATGGAGGGGGCCCCGGCGCCGACTCCAAGAGATCCGAGCGGAGCTCCAACAGTTTGGGTCAATGCAGCTTGTCCTTCTTCGCACCGGGGCGCGGTGGATAGCGTGGATCGCGTGTCGCACCGAGGCGCGGTGGGCCAGAACTCGCGGAGCGACACGGTTCTTCGAAACGGCGCAGCTGCTGAAACGCACCCCGAGGCTGGAGAGCCGCAGAGAACCCAAGGAACGTCCAGAAGCTCAAACCTCGAACCTCGACGTTGGAATTCCTCGAAGGATGCGAGCCCACCATGACGAATACACGGCACAGGCATGGCCCCCCGAAGATGGGACGAATGGCCACGGCGCGGCCCGCCAGTCGAGGCGCCGCCGCGGCCGAGGGCGCCGCGGGGACCCCGCTCCCCGGCGCGCAGAGCGCGCCACAGGGGGGCCCTAGCGCCGATCCGAGGAATCCGGGTGGACCTCCAAGTTCTGATGCTCGAGTCTTTGATCCCCCACATCAATAAAACAGGAAAGGCCGAGGACGAGGAGGAGGAGGAGGAGAAGGACGAGGAGGAGGAGAAGGAGGAGGAGGAGGAGGAGGAGAGGAGGAGGAGGAGGAGGAGGAGGAGAGAGGAGGGAGAGGAGGAGGAGGAGGTGAGGAGGAGGAGGACGGAGCGAGGAGAGTAGGAGGAGTGGAGAGGAGGAGGGGAGGAGGAGGAGGAGGAGGGGGAGGAGCCACGGCGCGGCCCGCCGGCCGAGGTGCCGCCGGCCGAGGACGCCGCCGGCGGAGGGCGGCTCCCCGGGCCCGGGCTGCGGCGGCGGCAGGCTCCTCCCGGCCAGCTAGCGCGCGCGCGGGCCGGCCGCGGTATGCTCCGGGGGGGGGGGTCCTCATCACTGCCCATCCTCATGCTCTCCTCCTCCTCCTCCTCCTCCTCCTCCTCCTCCTCCCCCTCCTCTTCTCATGCTCCTCCTCCTCTCCTCCTTTCTCTTCTCCCTCTCCTCCTCATGCCTCCTCATTCCTCTCCTCATCCTATCATCCTCATCCCTGCACCTACACATACCTCCTCCTCCTCTTCCTCCTCCTCCTCTCCTCCTCTCCTCCTCCTCCTCCTCCCTCCCCATCGTCACTCCTCATCCCTCCCCCTCCTACACATCCTCATCCCTCCCCCTACACATGCTTCCTCCTCCGCCTCCTCCCTCCTCCTCCTCCTCCTCCTCCTCCTCCTCCTCCCTCATCCTCCTCCTCCTCCTCCTCTCCTCCTCCGCCTCTCCTCCTCCTCTCCTCTCCTCCTCCTCCCTCTCCTCCTCATCTATCCCCCCACTACTCCTACACATCCTCATCCTTCTCACTACACATGCCTCCTCCCTCCTCCTTCTCCTCCTCCTCCTCCTCCTCCTCCTCCTCCTCTCCTCATCCTCCTCTCATCATCATCATCTCTCATAATCATCATCATCAGCATCAGCATCAGCATCATCATCATCATCATCATCATCATCATCATCCATCATCATATCATCATCATCATCTCCTCATCATCAGCATCATCATATTTCTTGCTATTTACCTCCTTTATTCCTCCTCCTCTCTCCTCCCTCTCCTCCTCCCCTCTCCTCCTCCTCCTCCTCCTCCTCCTCCTCCTCCTCCTCCTCCTCCTCCTCATGCCTCTTTCTCGACTCCTTCTCATGCCTCCTCATCCCTTCACCATACACCTGTCTCCTCCTCCCTCCTCAACGCCTTGTCCTTGTACATAACTCCTTCCTGTCGCACCCCGAGACGCGTCGATGGGGCGGGCTGGGCGTTTCGCCTGAGACTTTCTCACCCTTTAGCCCTTGATGATCCTTCAACTTAGAATTTGTAGCAGTTTCACGGATGGAGGGCGGGTGGGTTTCAAAATGTGGCTCTCGCCTTAGCGCCGCGCACTTTGTTCGAGCTTCACGGATGGCCCGCCGGGGGGGGGTTCAACATGTGGCTCTTTCCTGAGAACCGCGCACATTCGTCTCAGAAGTTCGCAGAGGTTTCACGGCTGGAGGGCGGGCGGTTTTCAAAATGTGGCTCTCGCCTTAGCGCCGCGCACATTCGTCTTAAGAGAGCGGGGAGCACGAGAGGTCTCCTGCCCCATCTGGGGCCCCAGACCAAGCAGGGATCGGCTCCAACCCCCGAAAGCACGAGGGTGGTGGGAATCGGCCTCGGGCAGCGCCCAGAGCGCGGGAATGAAAGCTCGACGTCGGACACGTTCGGGATGCGTTTGGGCCAGGATTTCCAAGCGGGTCCGGCGGTGGCAACGAGAGGCGCCCAAGAAGCTCTAAACGTGCGAACGTAGCTATGTGTTATATAAACACCTGTACCTGTATTTTTATGGGTTATGGGGGGGCGGAGGGGGTATTTTTATGGGTTATGGGTTATGCGCCATATTCTTCTTCTGGTATTTTTACGGGCTGTGGGGGGGAGGAGGGGAAACCCTAAAGCGACCCCCCTCTGGATATGTGGCAGGGGGGCCTTCTGGGCGCCCCATCCAGGAGGTACCCTGGGCTTTCTGGAGCTCCTGGAAGCCCTTGAAGTGCTGACGCAACGGGACCAAATCGGTCAGGAGGGCGGCCGAACTACCCCCCGAGGGCCCCAAGAGGCCCCAGACACCCACCAGACGCCCGAAGACGAACTAAGTAAGAACCCCAAGAGGCCTTCCACATGCAAGAAGACATTGGTTCCCCATGGTGTTTGTATGATTCTCGGAATGATGTGTTCTTCGGTCTTACGGGCGTCCGGGACTGCCCAGGAGGCCCGAACATCCCCCAACACCTACCCGAAAGGGCTTCCAGGCAATCCGATAAAGCCTCAAGACGGCCAACAGGGCCCCAGGATGGCCCCATGAAGGCCCAAGATGGGCCCAAGAAGGGCCCAAGACGCCCCCGAAGTCTTCCAAATCCGCCGACCCTTTGGTGTGTGTGTGTGTGTGCCTGTCTGTGTGTGTCTGTCTGTGTGTCTGTCTGTGTGTCTGTCTGTGTGTGTGTGTGTCTGTCTGTGTGTGTGTGTGCGTGCGTGCGTGAGGGCGTGCGTGCGTGCGTGCGTGCGTGCATGCGTGCGTGCGTGCGTGCGTGCGTGCGTGTGTGAGGCGCAGGCGCTGTCGTCGTCTGTCGTCTTCGTCCTCGTCGGCGCCAGTCCTCAGGAGACAAAAGGAATGAACAGAGAACAGACGCGTCGCAGTCCAGTCGACTCCCTTCCCTTTTCCCCATGGGGTACGGGGAGGGGGGGGGGCCTTCCTGTGGACGCGAGGATGAGGGGGACCACACCTCGATGGTCCTCGCCGAAGGAAAAATGCACACGTCCGAGCGATGCCAAGGCGGAAGGGGGGGGGTCCCGGCTCAGAATACCGCCGCCCCCGGGGTCACGGCGGGCCCCGGGGCGCCATGGGGGGGTCCTGGGGGAGGTCCCGCCCTCGGGGTCGGCGGCGCCGGACGCAAGGCCTTCACGATCGTGACCCCGTCGTTCAGGGAGGCCGCGGCTGGAAGCAGGATGGCCCGAGGAAGGCCTCAGAAGGCGCCCAGGAGGCCTCCAGCAGGCCCCAAGAGGCTCTTAAAATCTTTCCTGGGGTCCCCAGGAGGCTCTCCAAGGAGAAGACTCCGCGAAACGAGCTGAGGAGGGTGGGGAAGAACGCAGGGTACGGCGAGTTAGGAAAAGGAAGAGGAAACATGAGGGAATGCAATACAATAACGACGATGTCGGAGAAGGGATCAAGGAGTTATCGATGTGCGTTCTGTTTGACTGCTCTGCCTTTTTGTTCCGCCTGCTTTCCAAACTTCAAGGGCCAAGGTGCATGGCACGAAGCGCCAATGCAGTATTGTATATATATATATATATGCAAGGATGCACACATACACAGACACATGCACATACACCTACACCTACACCTACGGCTACACCCACACCTACACATACACGCAAACATACACATACACATACACAGACACAGACACATATACCCATATACACACATACACACATACACCGATACACATACACATACACATACATGCATACATATATTCATACACACACGTACACACACATCTACATTTGTGTATGCAAATACACATGTGTCAACACATACATGTATTAAACAAAAACTATGGCCCCTGGACCCAACAACGGCTTCATCTCTTGGGGACGCATTTTTTACTTCCACCGCCCTTCCGCCCGCTTCCGCTGGCTTCCGCCGGCGGAGACGGCCTCGTTTAACTTCCGCCGCCCTTCGGCCGCCTTCCGCCGCGCAAGAGATAAGAACTCCTTCGACGCTCGAAGGCAAGGCCAAATTTGCAGCGCCTCATATATACATACATATAGTGATGCACATATGCATATAAAAAAAGGGGCTCCTCGAAATTCGAGGTCCTAAGGGCGACGTGCAAAAGTGACCCTAGGCAGGATTGACTGCTGGCGCGCGGCCAGGAGGAGGCCGCGCAGGGGAGGGGGGGGAGGAGGAGGTGGAGGAGGAGGAAGAGGAGAGGAGGAGGAGGAGGAGAAGACGAGGAGGAGGGGGAGGGGAGGAGGGAGGAGGAGGAGGGGAGGAGGAGGAGGAGGAGGAGGAGGAGGAGGAGGAGGAGGAGGAGGAGGAGGAGGAGGAGGAGGAGGAGGAGGAGGAGGAGGAGGGGGAAGAGGAGGAGGAGGCGGAGGAGGGACGGTGGCCCTCTGTGTCATCAGCGAGGGGTCGCTCCCTCGAAGGGCCACGCCCACGCGTGCTGCTTTTGTAGTCGATGAAAGAAGCGCCCGCTGGACCCCCCCCTCCTCTCCCGTGGCCTCCCTGCTGGCCCCGCTGTCCTGTCGGGCTTGGCCTTGGCCTTGGCCTCGGCCTTGCCCTCGGCCTTGGCGGCGCCCGCCTCCCCCTCGTCCTGCGGCGGGCTCGCCTCCTCCTGCGGCGGGCGCGCCGCTCGCCGTCGCTGACCGCCGTCGGAGATATCATTCTCCGCCTTCGTCGCTGGTCGTCGTCGCTCCTCGCTCGACGTCGTCGCCGTCGCCGTCGCCGTCGAAGTCGTCGTCGACGACGCCGGAGGAGGAGGAGGAGGAGGAGGAGGAGGAGGAGGAGGAGGAGGAGGAGGAGGGGGATGGGGAAGGCGTCGGTCGTCGTCGTCCTCGTCGATCGTCATCTTCTTCTCTCGTCGGCGTGGCGTCGTCAAAGGAGGGCATGGAGGAACGGGAGGATGACGGGGAGGGGCAGAAGGAGGCAGGAGGGGAAGTGTTGTCAGGTGACCCCTGCAATATGCGTTCTTGTTTCCCCCCCAGCGGCTTTCCGACGCTGCTGGACGTTCTTCCCGCAGCAGAGGGAGAGGCGGAGGGAGGACGGGGATCATGAGGAGGAGGAGGCTCAGGAGGGGGAGGAGGGTCCGTAGCCATTTTTGGCTCAAGTCTCGGCAAGAGGTGTCGCCTCCAGTTTTCAGTCTGCAGAAAACGTGGACCCCTGGATGTCGCATCTCGTCCAGCTTCTCTGTTCCCTTCATGGTTGCCTCCTCAGGGGCATGCCGTCTGCTGCTGCTGCTGCTCAAGATCTCGAAATGACTTCGAAATTACTTCGCCTTCCAAGGAAAACCCGCACCAAGATCCTGCGCATCGAGTTCGCTTACCATTTGGTTCGCCACATCACAGGCCAGTCAGTGGCGGCCTTCATCGAGCAGGTGCAGCAAGAGGTTCGACTAGCACAAATCTGAGGAGAAAACAGAGACGTTTTATTGCCGACAAGGGACTTTGAGGCCCACAGTGGCGAGGTCAGTTCCGACAGCCGCTTAGGAGAAGACAATCATCCTGCAGACGCCCACCCTGGGCCTACAGATGATCAGCTAAGCGCCTCCAAGACCCTTGAGAACCAGGCCATGCACAGCCTGGACGATAAGCTGATTAACCTCAAGTCCCTCGTATTGGATTTGCGTGCTGTTGTAATCTCACACCCGCCCCAAGCGTGTGGTTCTAAGTGGGGCCTGTTGGAAAAGCCGAGCTTGAACATCAATGCTGACTTCGGCAAGCAGGAAGCGGAAGTACAGACAGTGGATCCAGCCACAACCGGTGAGAAGACATTTGCCCTCTATGAGGACGGAGCCATCGGTGATATCAAGACTGTTGAGTGCAACCGTTTAGCTTCTAGCATGGCTGCCTGGCTTCTGAACAGAACACATTTCAGCACTACTAGGTGGAACTCATAGAGCGTGTCAAAAGCAAGAAACAATTGGACATTTTGAAGGCCGTGAAGTTCAACCAGGCTGAGCAGTTCGTGCCGTCGGTGGATCGGGCAAATGTGCTCGGCAGACTTCTTGAGCGATGCTGTCAACACACGGTGGTTCTGAACCCTAGTATGAACCATCACATACAATATAACACGTCCAAGAGTTTCCCGAAGGTTGTTGTTACACGTGACGGCCACGAGTGCCAATGTGACACCTCAACTTCCGATAATGTCATCAAATACGACATGCCCGATGACCACAATTCGTATCTCAGCCGCGTCGGGATTGAGAAGGGTATCGATTACCAGCGGCGTGTGTTTCGTCACCACCTCCGACAATCCCGACATTCTCAAGAAGCTCCAGGATTGCGCGAAACCTTCAGGTTCGCGGGATGCCTCTAGAAGGCCGCTGCTTGCATTCCCAGGGATTCGCTGCGTAGGGGAATGAACAGTGAGTGAGCGGTGCATCTGGCAGGCACGTTGTATGCAAGACATGTTCTGTAGTAGCGGCGCTGGGGTCTATAGCCCAGTGCAGTGCTTCCATCGCCCATTCTTCCCCTCGTTTTCCCTGCGATCACATTCACTCCTTCCCATCCCTACCCTTCAGAGCTTATGCTGCTTCTGGCCAGCATTTTTCCAGAGGAGGATGGGAGCGGAGGGTTTCAAGTATTATTGTGTGTGGGTGTTTTTGTTGTGGGGTGTTGTGTGGTCCAGCGGATGAGGGGCTGGATGACCTCCCGCCGCTCCCTCCACAGCTGAAAGGAAGCATATATTGCAGACTTGCCGCATAGCAACGGGGGCCTCTTGCCCAGATGGTGCTCCCAACTGTCTCAGAGAACTGTTTGGGGGGCAGGCGGCGGGGGGGGGTGGCAAGGAGGGAGGATTGACTCGTTCTCGCTTTGCTTGTTGCGGGACGGAGGCTGTAGGAGGGAGGACGCTTTGCCTTTCCCTCCTGCCCATCACATTTTTGTCAGGCTTCGCTGAGCTTGCTCGAATTTTGCCTCATACGAGAATACGAGAACACGAGGAGGAGGACGAGGAGGAGAAGGGGGAGGACGAGGACGAGGAAAAAGAGGATGAGGAGGAGGAGGAGGAGGGCACGAGAAGGACAAAAAGAGGACGTTGTAGGCGGAACCCCACTGGCGGCCACACATCCCTAGCATCAGGCCCTGGATGGGCTCGAGGCTTCTGGGGATGATGAGAGGGAGGTGGAGGAGGAGGCGGAAGATCGGCGGCGCGCCAGGGGGGTAAGGGGGGGAGAGGGGGTGGGGATAGGTCTACAGGTACAGTCGGGGCCTTGACCTAAGGAGCCCCAAATAAGGAACGAGGCCCCTTTTTCCCATAAGTTAACCTTCGATTTCCTGTCGAAAACATGAGAAAAGCTTGAGGCAAGCTGCGAAACACTTGAGGAACGCGGAGCCCCTCCCCAACGAAAAGGGTTCCTTCTTCAGGGCACCGACTGTACTCCCCGTCGTTGGCAGCGTTGCGCTGCCGTGGTTGCCGCTCGCGCGGGGCACAGGCCCGGGCAGGTGTCCCAACCACCGCTCGGCGGGGATCTGGAGCTGGCGTCGGTGACCCCAGTGGGCGCAACCCCCCCCGTCTCTAGGACGACTGGACTGAGCTGCCCTCCCTCCGGCGGGCACCAATCCCGCTTGCTGCGCCGCCGCGCTCCTGGCAGCTGGGCCGTCCTTGTTGGAGCGTGACCGCTGGCACAGCGCATTGCCGCTCTGCCAACAGCCCCCCTCCCTCCCCCGTCCCTCTGGGGGGTTCTCCGAAGGGCTGAGGCGACCCGTCCTCCTCCTCTCGCCTCCTCCTTCTCTTCCCCTTCCTCCTCCTTCTCCTCCTCCTCCTCCTCCCCCCTCCTCCTCCTCCTCCTCCTCCTTCCTCTCTTCTTCTTCTTCTGCTTATGTGTTTTTTTTTTCTTATTCTTCTTCCTCCTCCTCCTCCTCCTCCTCCTCCTCCTCCTCCTCCTCCTCCTCCTCCTCTACCTCCTCCTCCACGCCCTTCCCTCCCCGGGTCGCCTACGGCCCTGGAGGAAACCGTCCACGTCCCTCCCCTCTCCTCTCCTTGCTCCTCGCCGGCGCGGTCAGGCGTGAAGGGATAGAGAGCCAGCCGTCTAAGAAGGCCAGGGGGTGGTGGTGGTGGGGGGGTCGGGGGAGGCCCTCCTGCCCTGATGCTCTTTGAAAAGCCTTCGGAGACGCTCCACGGGGCCCCTCAGGGGGCAGGGGGGGGGGAAAGAAGACCCCATTCATTAGCAGGCCAGCCCCTATCAATTATTTCGTGCTTGTCTTGTTTTGCCTGGCATTGGCGGGCTCCGTCCTAACTTGGGCCACCGTTGACCATGATTGCTGAATGTTCGGATCGTCTCGCCCTGTAAACCACTCGACAACTCTTTCGCGACATTTTGGGCAATGCGGCTCGAGCGCGGATCTCACCAAATTGTGACATTACGGCCGTGGCGCCCAGACGTTGGCCCCGCGGCAATGCACTCCGGCATCTTCGCGGCAATCTCCCAGACACCTAACGCCGAGTGTCAGCAGTAGAGTCTTGGCTAGGCGACGCCAGGGGCAATATCGCTCTGGCTTTAACGCCCACCCCGCGTGCGTTGGGTTCCGGATGCCAAGGTCGCCCTCTCATGTTGGTACATTCTTCCAGATGCCATCTCTCCCCGTCACTCCCCGCGCGCCAGAACTCGCGGGATTGGGTGGCCCCGCCCCGAGAGCCGTCGATTAACTCCTGGCTTGCATCGCGCGCTCCCAATGTTCCACTCTCGCATATTGCGTTGAGGCTGCTGCTATCCTTTCTAGGTGGAGTCTTCGGATGCATGGCGCATTCCCCAAAGTCGGGAAACGCATGGTTGAATTTGCCCCCTGCGCACCTGCCATGGGCAGTTGTTGTGTCTTTTATTTTCGCTTTTCTGTTTCCCGCAAGTGTCCGCAGCTATCTGGTTGGCACGGGAAGACGAACAAACAAGCAACAAAATCATGAACGCATTCTCTTCCCCGGGCCCAACTGCGCGCGCGTCGCCCACGGCAACGTGGCGCGTCCGACTTTGACCTTGCATGGCTATGATCGCCCTTTTCGACTTCGCTGTTTGCTGGATAATCTCCAGTAGGGCTAGACTTCACTCCTTAGTCCAGGACGCGCGATGCTTCGACGGCGCTCATGAGCGCCGCGACGGATGACTCGCCATCGGTTTTGAGGATAATTCTCCTCTGCCCAGTGGACAGAAGCATGCCCCGCGCAACCTGGATCGAATCAAAATCAATTCTTTTCAGTAAAACGGGGCTCCGGATGATCTTGGCGCCCCGGCAACGTCGCGACCACAATCGGGCGGGTGTCATGTTCCATCATTTTTTACCATCTCCCATTTTACTGCCGAACTACGCGTGGCAGATTGAGGTCGCAGGTGCTCCGCGCCAAGCTGATCCCATCCTCCATTTGCGCGCTCTCCCCCATGTCTCCCCTCTAATTAACGCAGCGGGGGTGTCGGTTCCGATCTGGTAGATGAGCTCCGCAATGCAACTCGGCCCCGCATTGCTCGGCCTCGAGACGCGCGCGGTTCTCTCGGTCACTCCGGCCTCGTCTCCTACAGAAATGTCCTCGACATCGCGCATCTCGCTGCCACAAATCTTGTTTTCTGGGTCGCCCTCCGAGTTCATGGCGGCGAGATTTTTACCGGAAATCGCGGGGCCCGGTCTGGCCCGATGCGCCAAATGGCAGTTCCCTGCCCAGGAGAACCCTCGCATCTCTCCTCGCAAACTTCCTCTCGCTTTCTCGCCCCCCTCGGCTCGCTGCTCTTTTTCGGGCCCAGATGGGGAGCTGGAAATTGCGCGTCTTAATGCATCTTCATAGTTTGACCCGCTGCCCTGCGGGATCGCCCTCGCTGTCTCGATCTAACGCTATGCGATTGCCCGCTTCGACCGCCCCGCGAGCTGCCCTGCTTTTTTTTCGCACCAGCTACATGGATGGGATCGCTCGCCATGGATCCATTGTTTTTCCTACAGTAACTCGCTGCCCACGGTTCCTGATGACTGACCCATCGCTGCGCCGTGGTGTTTGACGTTAGTGGAGGCCTCGGCAGGTTCGACCTTGGAGGTCCAACAGTGTCGTTAGCTCTTGAACTCACAGCGACAATAATCGCCTCCATCCCCCTTTCCTTGTTCCCCACTGGTGCATGACAGACTTTTGCTGGGGCCCTAAATGTCGACTGGCTGTAGCTCGGAATAGTTTGGCGCGCAACTTCCCCCCTGCTTGATGCACTCCGAAATAAGGCGACCCCACGCTTACGCAACGCGCGCTTCATCTGGATTCCTCTTTGGCGCTGCGCCCTCCATTGCTTTGCCCCCCCAGGTGGCCCCAGCGCTCCGGGCTCGTCGCCCCTCCGCTTGCGCGGCGGCTCCGCCCAACTCGCCGCTGCGGCGCCCTGGCCCTGAAAACGGTTGCCCCGATATCTGCGCGGGCTCTCCTGGGCCTCTCGCCCCCCCCGCCCCTCCCCCTTTGACCTGTAGTGACATCGCGGGCGCCCTTGGGACAGCGGGCTGCAATGCGACCCTTCTCCGCCGCGCGTGTAACGCTTCCCCCCGGCGGTCGGCGCAAATCCCCCCTTGTCTCCTCCTCTCCAGCCTGGGGCATGGTTCCCTTGGCCCCCCCCTGGGGGGGCCCTCTGTGGCCTCCCTACGCGTAACTCCGCGGGCAGCCCTTGGTGCCCTTGGTGCCATGATATCCCCCTTTGTAACCCCCCGCCTGCGCCCCGTGGTAACCCAAGAATCCTTTGCATGATCCTTTGTCGCATCCTTCAATCGTGCTGCAATTCACCATGCCTTTCGCCAGCGTGGGCCAGAATGATCCCCAAGGCTGGAACCCTGAATGGCAGTGGTAACGAACAAGCCCACCCATACTTCCCCAATGGTTCTACTATAGCATTCCATTGTTCAAGCTGCGCAACCACCTCCTACATGTTCTTCAGCTCTTAAATCTGCATAGCCGATTTCACCTTGTGAGAAAGAGTGACGTTGCAGACTTGTGGTAAGCAACCAAACCATCTCCTTCATGCAGGCCCTTCAGTTCCCCCGGGGTTTTGTTCCCTATCGTTTGTGGTTAGAGAAATACCAAACGTCTTCGACCAACTTGGAATAATCGTAGCCATTCAATTCACATGCCCCCTCTGGGTCGTCTTCCCTTCTGTTGCTTCCCGACGTGTTGGTGCATTCGCTGAGTGTGGACCTCCCGTTAATGATGTTAACGCACCGTCCTCTTCGTCATCAAGAAATGCCCATCCATTGTTGCGAATATGTTGGGCAAATTCATGGAAGCTTCCCGGTAGCCGTGCTTCAAGTGGGCAAGTGCATTCAACAACTTCCCACTCAATTCTCAGAGTTTGGTCTGGTCGCCTGAGACCGTCTTCAACTGGTGAGCAGCCTTGTATTCACTCACGGGCTTCTTTCAAAGTCTGCCAGCAATACCTGTTTTCCTGCGGACTGTATTGCCTCAGCGATCTTGATAACGTGTTCCGAAGTGTTCGTTTGATGTTGGAACCATTTCCTCACGTACTCCTTTCATGTGTTGAACTGTTCCTCGCATTATATCTTGATGTTGATAGCTGAGTTCAAGAGAGCATCCATTCGGCAACTCATCTACAACATGGTGGCTGCTTCGCGTACCTGAAAGTTCTGTACTCGCAAACTGCATTGCACAATTCCGCAAACCGGTTCGTGCCCACGTTGTGACAGGCTTCGCGTACTTCGGGTAACGACACATCATAGACGGGATCGTTGGCTCTGGGCTTCGCCGTGGCAGCTGCAACTGCCGCCGCCGCCGCCATCTATGCTCGGGAACCCGTGGGGTGAACCACGGGCCCCGCTACCATCAAAAACTGGCAGGAGCTTTCTTTTGCGAGAAGGCAATAGTATTTGAGCCAAGCAAGTGCGTCCCACAGCTCACATTCACCATTCCAAGGTCACAATCCTGGCAGATAGCCTATCGTGCTCACCCAATCGGAACGCTACAATCTAAGATCTCCTCCTCCTCCTCCTCCTCCTCATCTTCCTCATCCGCTGTCTCCTCCTTCTCCTCCTCGTCCTCATCCCTCCTCCCCCCGTTCCCCCTCCTCCTCCTCTTCATCCTCCTCCTTTTCCTCATCCGCCCTTTCCTTTTCCTCCTCCCTCCTTCCTCCTCCCGCTCCCCCTCCCCATCCTGCGCCCCCTCCTCCGATTCTTCCTCCATCCACCCCCCTCCTCTTGGGATGCGATGGCGATGGCTCCCGCAGCCCTTTGTTATGCATGCTCCTCCTTACCCCTGATCAAAGCACCTCGCACGGGCTGGTGGGGTTACGCGAAACGTGTTGGACTTCGATGCGAACCCGGCCGCGGTGACGAGGAGCCTCTGGCTGGTCCGAACAGAAGCTAAAAACTCAAAACATAAAATAAAGTAAGAACCCTTCTAGGCAGAGCCTAGGTAGGGAAAAACACTAATACTCGGACGTCAGTCTTCGAACCTCGACCAGCGACCCTCGACGGCGGCGGCGGCGGAGCCGCTGTCCTCCAGGTCGTCCAGATCCTCCGGGTCGGACGCCATCGAGGCGCTCCCCTCCACCGGGGCGGCCGCGGCCGCCACCACCGACGCTTTCGTCGCTGCCGTCGTTCCCGCCGTCGCTGTCGGCGCCACCACGGCCGCTACTGCGGCCGCGGCCGCCGCCGCCACCACCGCCACCGCCGCCGCCGCCACCGCCGCCGCCGCCGTCATTGCCGTCGTCGTTGTCGTTGGTCGAAGACCGAGATTCGAGGATCAGGCTTTGGTGGCAGTGTTCGGACCTCAGTGGGCGCCCAGACCCGGCGGGATCGAGAAAGAGGGTCAGCCTGAAGGAGGCCAGGTCCACCGACCGTATGGGGAGGCCCAGACGGCGCCGACTACGGCCTCAACTGCCGACTTGATGGTTCGAGCCTGTGTGCCCCTAAGTTTTTGGCTGCCGTGCCGGTTGCATCTGGCCAAAATTAGGCTCGGCAAGGGTCGTGGGCACAATTCGAACTGAAGCCAGCTGCGACCGCAACTGCACGAAATCTGCCCTTTGGATTCTCAGGTGACAAGTTGGTAAGCTGCAGGTGGAGTACGCGCGCAGACGTAGCGCATTGACGCCAGCAGCGTTCGGAGATGCAATATCGGCGGTGGACAAACCTCCCTTTAATAAACCACCCTTCCGTGAAAACGGAGTAGGACCGAGACCGACGGACCTGGACCCACAAAAAGAATGGCCGTGACGCCCCCTCGCGAACCGAAAACTGCCAATTCACTAATCGACGTGTCAGGGTACGAGCTCCATCAACCTCCGAATCAATGGGTTTCCAGCGCCTCTGACCCCCCCAAGTCTGGCCGAAAATGGAGCGCCCCCCCCCCCCACCCCTGCCCTCGAACGCTGGCTCCAGCCTCCCGAGGATGGCGCAGCTCGGCCAGCAGCCTCGCCAACGTCGGAGCCACGTGGCCTTCGAGCAGCTCCCCCGTGTGCCCTCTGCCCCCGCCGCAAGCTAAGCAGGATACCCCAGGGTTGTGCGGCGTCGGCGCGCGCAGAGGTTTTTGACTCTGCGTCGATCGTTAAACCCTGAATCGATCGCGGCACCGATCATTCGGCGCTGAATTCCGCCGGGTCCTGTGGCGTTCCCATGTCCATCGGTGCTCCCGCGTCGCAGAATTAAACCTGGAACGCCTTCGCTGGCGTCGCCAGCGCGCCATCGCTGCGTGAACCTACCGTACTACTACGTTAGAGGCCTCCTGGATGGGGTCTGAATAGATGGGGTCGGAGGATCGCGCCGTATCGCCGCTACATCGGCGATGCATCGGCGATGCATCGGAGATACACTGGCGATGCATTGTTGGCGTCGGCGATGCATCGGCGACGTCGACAGGAAGCAAATCCGGCTCCACATCCGGCAAGCATCGCCGATGCATCGGCGCATCTCGTGACCTGGGCCGGCGCGAGCTAGCAGACAGCCGACAGAAGCCGCTCGGGGGGCGAGGGCAGAGGGGGCGATGGCGGCTGGAGCAGGGACGGCGCGCCGTCCCGCTTGGCCGCAGGAGCCCAATAGAACGCAAACCCAGCCCCCCCCCCCCCTTCCGAGCCGGAGTAGGGTTCAGCTCCCAATGCAGAACTGCAAAACCCAAGCGGAGTATGGACCCGGAGACAGGGATAGGCAAACCGCAAAAAAAACTTGTCTCGAGGGATCTATATTGGGCTTGGCCCAAATACGACCCGACAGTTTCGTTGGCCAGCCTGGGAGCGATTCAATTGCGCGGGACATGAACATAGCAATACTTTCAGGTCCTGTCCACCGAGCACGAGAATGAGTTTCCCCGCTGGGGGTTTCTAGCAAAATCAATTTTCTCGGCAGAGCCCTTCTCCACCCCCTAGTTATCTCGAGCGCTCAGCAGATCTGTGAGCAGTCGCACCCGAACGCTCTTTCGGACCACCCCCACGAAGCCCGAGTATGACGTCCCTATGGCAGCCCGCGTGCAGTCTTGCGGCCGCGCTTCATTCGCGCGGAGTCGCCTTTCGCAACAAGAACAAGTAGACTTCTGGGATATCGGTTTAGTACGAGTGCAACGACATCCACTCGCCCCGAGCCAGACAGCAGGTGCGAAACTGGAAGCGGACATGGAAATCCCTCGCCCCGACATAAAAGGTGCATGGCCTTCGAGCGCTTTCCCGTTCCGGGCCCCCCTGCCAGAATCACCGAGGGTCCGAAGCAAGAACCATTGCTTGGCCGCGGCTCTGGGAAAGCGACCCTGGTAGGTCGATCGGACTACCAGGTGGGCCGCAGGTCACAGACCATACAGTGTGGATTCCGAACATGTTCCCCCTCGCCTCTGAGCCTCTGGTCCTCGCAAGTCGACCCCCAGACCCTGGACAACTCGCGGGGTGCGTTCTTGCCAGAGGTCCGAGCCGGATCCAGCCGTGCTGGGAGACACCGCCGAACCCCTCGATCTGTTCAATTTTTTTGGCGTCGCATCTCATCAGCACGGCTGGATCCTCGATCCTCGCTCCTCGAATTGAGTCGATCCTCGAGTCGAATCGATCCTCGAGGACCAAGGGCCGATTCGATCCTCGATCCTTGAGAAACTCCGACCCCCATCAGAATGGGGGCCTTTCCCTGCGCAGCCGTATACTGCGCCCCGCGCCCGCCCAGGGAAGGCGGGGGTTGGGGCCACTTCGGGCGCGAAGCCTGGCGCGCTCGTGGCGAGCGAGGAGGAGGAGGAGGAGGAGGAGGATAATGCGAATGAGGAAGAGGGGGAGGAGGAGGAGGACGAGGAGGAGGAGGAGGACGTGACAACGTTCGACGGACACACAAACCGAAAGAGAGAGAGAGAGAGAGAAATAAAGAGGAGAAGAGGAAGAGGAGTAGGAGGAGGCGGAATAGGAGGAAAGAAGGAGGGGGAGGCGGAAGAGGAGGCGGAGGAGGAGAAAGTGGAGGAGAAGGAGGAGGAGAGGGACGACGACGACGACGACGACGACGACGACGACGACGACGACGAGAGGAACCCCAGAATGTGTGACAATGTGTTTGTCAATCTCTCAATACGTAAAGGACAGGATCCACAAACAAACCTTTTGACAAAAAACAATGGGCTCATTTCTGAAATTCTCCACTGCAGCGCGCCGAACTGCGATGGGCGACAGGCGATTTCAACTCTGGCACCACAGGCCCGGTCCGAATCATGGTTTGCGTTTTGGCGCCGGTCTCGTGCCGCATGCAAGACGGGCAGACTAAACGCTGCTCTTGGTGAATAACTACCTTGTCGCACGCGCGCGAGAAAGGACAGCGGCGCCGCGCACTTGTCGGTGATAACGCGCCGCATTGCACTCGCACTCATCCGCAGAGAGGGGTGCTACAGCATCGGATTGAAGCGGTCGCGGCGGTGCAGCGCTACAACATCCAATGCGGCACCAATCGGGCCAGAGAGCTCTCAACGACCTCCGCTTACGCGACGGTCCAGAGGCGGTCCGGGGTCGTCGCCCGCAGTCGTACTCCCGTGGCGCCACGGAAGTACAACACTAAAGGAGCCCGGAGAACGACGATGACGATCATGCTGCTGACGACAGACGCACTGATGACAACGACCACCACGACCACTAAATGCGAGGAAAAGGGCGCAGGCGGCGATCCACGCTGCCCCCTGTGAGCGGCTGTCTCGCCTGGGCACCAGCCAATCCCGAGGCAGGGCCACGGGGGACCGACGGAGGGCAGAAGGATGACGACCAGATAAGGATAACATATTTCCCTCCCGCCCTCTTCGCGGCGGTGGTCTGGAGCGCTTCTTCTCCAAACTTACATGTCCCTGTCTCCCTTCGGGGAGGGGCGCGCCCCCTCCACCTGCCCCTGCCCGCTGGGTCTGGACGTGGGGTGGGGGGGCGGGGTCGCGAGCGGTCAGAACGTCTGTGGTGGGCCAAGATGGCTTCAAGAGAGTCTCGGGCACTCCAAGACGGTCTCGAAGAAAGCTCAAGATAATTATGGACGGGTTTAGCTAAGCTGGGCTTTTTTCCCTTCAGAACCCCCGACGGATCCCGCCGACAAGGCCCGACTCAGGCCTCGATGGCCCGCGGCAGCTGCTCGTGGCCGCCGGCCCCGTGCACCCAGTCCAACGACGCGTTGGCCCCGAACTGGCCGTCGATCTGCAGCGAGGCGCCGACTCCGATGTCCAGCGCCCCGAAGCCACAGACAAACTCAGCCACGCTGAGCAGGCAAGACCAGATCCCGCGGCAGCGGCTTGCCCGTCTGCGGGTGCTTTCCCGCCAGGGCCCTGTCACGCTTCTTCCTCTTGGCGCCATCCTTGGACGAGCGCCCTTGCCGTTCTAGAGGCCCAGGGCAGGCTGCCCCAAGCCCCGCTACTCGCGTCGCTGAATGAGCCCCGCACACCACGCGCAGCGCGCGTGGCCCACGCGCCTCCGCTCGATGTTCGCGCTGCTCTCGGTCATCACATTCCTCGTCTCGCCGTGTTCCTGCAAGTGCCGCTGCCACCGTTGCAGGTCCCACGCGCGTCTCAAGCAACCCAGAGGCCCCCGTCCGCCTGGCTCCCGTAGACCACCGCAGCGGCGGCTTGCACTCGGCCCCCCACAACTTCTTGCCTTGCGCATGCGCTTTGAAGCCGCCCGCTTCCCACAACGAATGCACACCATGCACTTGCCCTTGTCCTCCACCTCGTGCTTGGTTAGCGCCACGGTTTGCTTCGCCAGCTCCTTCCTCGGCGCCCCTGGCGCTCGCTTGGGTGCGTCGGGCCACTCTCCTGCCATTTTGTTGTACAACCACCCAGTGTTCATCGCCGCCCAGCGCACCTTCGACGCCAAGTGGTCCAGGGCCTGCTGCTTGCCGAAATTGGCGTCCACTGCCGCTCCTGCATTGGCCAGCTCATCGACGGCCGTTGCCCTTCGCGACATTGATCTCGGCCCCCTGCAGCTGCGCAATCTTCGACTTCGCCCTGTGCGCCTTCACGTGGTGGATCCTGCTGGCCTCGAGGTCCAGGTCCCTGACCTTGTGCCAAATTCTTCCACAGATCGGCGTGGGGCCTCTTCCAGCTGGTACACCACATCT